ACTGGGCCAATATGCCCTGAGTAGTTGGCTACAATCTTCTCTCCGGGGGTCTTGGCCTTCCTGTTGCAGGCAATCACTGATCCCTGCTCTGTACCAACCATGAACTTGGTTGGCTGGTGGAGAACACATATAAAACTATAAGGAACATTTCACAAGTTTTTTACATGAAAATACCTTTAGACATGCGAACAACAAATAATATTAATTTCCATGCACATTGATATTACATTTACAGTATTAATCCATCATTATACGAAGAGGTTTGACAAAATATGCAGTGAAAAGTTGTGTCAGTGTAAATGTTGTAACGTGAGGTGTAGTGTGCAGGGGTCTTGCAATGTGAATAGGTTCAGTGTCGGACATATATAACATGCAGTATCTTCTATGAGTTCATCCTAATTACATCAAAGCAAGTGTGTTGCTGCTGTGGCGTACAGCTCTCTAGACATCAAAGCACATAGTTGTTAAACACAACCAGGTAGGACATGACACAGGCTCTGACACAAACTAGAATACAACACAAAGCTTGACATGAGGGATATGGTCTATCTTGTGATTCCTATAGACATGCTGTCAGTGAATGACAACATATCATCTCACCATCAGCTTAAACTCCTCCAACAACTGACAGTATCAAGAATATAAAAATCACAATCATGAGATCACAAATGTTCACAATGAGAAACAATGAGCACTGAATAGCATTATGGTTTACCCAACAAAGATTCAAAGACTCTTGAAAATGCTTGTTACCATTAAGTAAAAATTGAAAAGCTATTGTGTGGTTTCTGTCAACATTAGCCTAATGAAATTTTGTCTCTATGACTTAGCACTTAGTCATATTAGGCTTTACTTGTAAGTCTTGTTATTTGATATGATAGACTATGTTAGCCAGCAAATGTGATCTACTTGTAACAGATTATCCAGTTGTAGTAATAGGTATATATTTTCTTTAAAGATATCATCAATACTAGAGATGTAAATCTTTTTAATAGCACCACTCAGCAATATTCCAGCTACATGATGTCGGCCTGTAAATAATCAAGTAGGAATCAGATAATCCAGTGAAACCAAGTCTGCGAGTCTAACCACCCAGTTTACTTTGTAGAACAAGTATAGGCGGCTGAGGACCCACCCTTAACTACGAACCCCATGGGGCCACAATAACGAACTTGACATACCATCGTTGGTTCATACTCCAGACAGTAAGCTCCCTGTGCCTTCGACAGGTCCTGTTTCTTGTCTAGGAAGAGTTTTTCTGTGGGCTCCCCGAGCTTCCGGATGTCCCACCACAGAACCTGACCGTCAGTGGAAGCAGAGAAACATTCTGTGCCTGTCTTTGACTGGATCCATATGGCCTTGTAGGCGGGGTCGCGATGACTCTGCTCAATAGGGGTCATCTCCACTGGTTGGGATCCTTTTCTTGTGTCCCAGTATGCTGTAGTGACAAACTCCACAATAACTCATTTATGAAATCAAAGAGTGTGAAATGTCTAAATATTTCAGAGAACATTTTGATGAATGAATGAACTGTGTTCAACACTGCTTTGAACAGCATTTCAGTGCAATGTGGAGAGATATCATGAATGTTTTAGATATTTACCACCCTCTAGCACATGTGTGCTACTGACAAACCAGGAACTGTAGTCAGGGTGAATCAGACATGGATCCACGATTATGGAATGCTGGCAGACCTAATGACAAAACTCTGCACAGCAAGAGAGGCACCTTCGACTCTCAAACCCGACCATATTTATGAAAGTATCTCCATTTTATAATGATTCTAAAGAAATATGAAACAACAAACCAATTTGTCCGTTGTAGCATCCACCCAGTAACACATGGGAATCCTTAGGGTTGTACTCCAGACACACCAGTGGGGAGACAGGTTTTAGAGTCATCTCGGGTTTGTTTGGGTTCTCTGTAAGTGAAGAAATCATAACAAATTATAACAACAGCAGACCAATTCATTGGTTTCATCTATTACTAAAAATTTCTAAAAGGCCGAAAGTATGTCACATGGAGGATTTGTTATATACTGAGGGAAAAAAGTAAGGGATCACATGAAAGCACAAGTGTTCCTTTATTTGTTTCCCGGTTTCTTCACAAGCTGTGCGATACAACGCCTGCGAAGAAACCTGGAAAAAATAAAGGAACACTCATGTGATCCCTTATTTTTTCCCCTTAGTATATATGTCAATGTAAGGTGAAAATACTTACCAACATCCCAGATATAAGAGTCCATGCTTGTATCTGGAGACGACCCTTGGAATGTCAGATTACAGTATGCTACTGCCAGTTTCCGGGGTCCATCAGGGAACCAGGAGATGTGTGTGGCTGTGCGCTTAACCTCATTAGGATCTCTGTTGACATACAGTTTCACTTACAAGTCAAAGCAGAATGTTGATGACAAGGAGTTTATGGCACTTTCAATTCTTTTCTCCAAAGTTCAAGATTGATTTGGAAATTACAGTCACATCAAAGTAACAAAGACAAAATTCTGGGTTCAACCAGATTGGGACACATGGAACACTAAACTTTTATGGACTTTCCAAGGACTTACAAAAAATGCCCAAATCCTAATAACACTACATTTTTAAATACTAAAATGCAGACATGGTTGAAATGGCTTTAATTGTATTCTTCATGATGAGAAATAAGTGTGACCTACAATCAATGCAAACACTGTAATAAACCAAATAATTTCTCAACATGCCCAATTATGATGAAAACTTAAACATAATCAATAAACAGATATGCAACACACACTGAAATGGAACAACTTAACGTCAAGGAACATGTTTTAGTATTTTTCAGAATTTAAGTTGAAAATTGAATTCAAGGATGTTTCTTAGTAGGCAACTGTTAAATTCATGGCAATTTTAATTGGTGTGTGAATCCTACTCTGCATATAGAATAGCCACACAGCCAGGCTACCCCACTACCTTGAAACAACGTAGGTACAACTCTGTGATTCTTACCTGAAAACATTAATAGTTTTGGCTGATGGTGTTTCATCCACCTGATCCACATCGACATCTTCAAAGTATTCCTCATAGATGTCAATGGCATTGTTCTGTTTGATGCAGTGCTCCATGACCTGAATAACAAACACATGTCAATGATGAAATCAACCACCATAGTCATGAGAGCACTTACAGGGAGTGAAGGGCATGGTTTTACACTGCATTTAGGACTATCACAACAGGGGACACCAGAAAATGCACCCATTGTATCCATGTGATGTATTGAAATCTGTCCTTTGGTGTCACAAGCAAATGATTAACCAATAGGCCATCCCATTTTCCCAATAGTCTTAATATATAGATAATGTCCATTAACATTCGTTAATATTACATCTTCTCAAGGATTGACATCAACATTTGACTTGAATTGACTTCAATACTTTGTGTTTATGGAGACATAAGGGTGAAAAAGAACATAAATGCAAAAGCATATTCATGACACTTGCTATAAATAAACATGTCAACAATAACAACTTCACAGGCTGTTTGTTTTATCAGTACCACAAAATAAACATGTAGGCTACAAATCAGAGACACTGATCAGTGAAATATTGGTGAATAGCTGTTAATAGCTAATTAGGAAACAGTGGGTGTTTTCCTTTTGTTGAATGAAACAAACACAATATTAACTGTATGGTTAGCTAATTAAATGCCACAAAACCAATGTGCATTTTTCTATTAAAAAGCAAAGACTCAAAAGAATAGTAAACATTTAAAATCTTTTGACTGATAACTGCATTACTACTTACACTGCCCAGCTGCTGAATGGTCTGAATGTACATCTCATCTTTCTCTACTTTCTTCCTGTATCTTGTCACCTGCTCCACCTCACCGGCATTGACATCCTTTGGCCAGCCACCTTCAACATGGTTTATACCACGAGAGCTGGTCTCAAATCTCTCGGTATTCACCTGCAATCATCATATGAATTAGAATGAAAACATGAAAAATGGTCAAAAGATTACAAGATCCAGGGTTAGAACACTAATTTTTCATGAATCTTATAACATGATCTGGTGTAACTGTCTACCAAATGGCAAAAGTGGTTGCATTGAAACATTTTATATTGCACTGTAATTAAACTATTTTCACACTAGACATTAATTTTATCTTACGAAAAGACATGATGATGTACTTACCTCATGTTCTGACATTTCCTGCACACATTGAATTCCACTATCCACTGGATTTCTCTCCACAAAGTTTGAGGTGAGTGATGAATCAGGGATAATGTCAACATGCAACTCTGCCTGTCTGTCAGCAAAGTTACACTGTCGACCGAATTCATTCCGTTTCTTTGTGTAGACGTAAACTATCTCCATTTTGTGAGGTGTTGTTTCAAAGCAAACTTGAAAATCTAGCTCCTTGAAATCTATAAAAGAACATTACATACACATGTTTGATAGCGTGAACAGTGTTTAAAAGCTGAATATCATGGATGCATTGATTGTCGATTTGTTTTTAAAAGCATGGCCTAGGCCCACTTACTAGTATTTAATCAACACTGCCAGTGTCGCCTATCAAAAACTACAACAAACATGATACATTTTGAACTATGAACTACATATTAACCGCACGAACGTGCGTTATTTCTATGTCAAGCAGATCTAGTTATATCCTTTGCGTGAAAATACTGATTTCGTAAAATTTTAAAACCAAAACGACTGCAATATAGCCGAGTAAAAACAAGAATAAATCTCATCACTCACCAGCGAAGCAGTTTGTAAAGTTTAAATATTAATAAACAGACATAACATGTACATAGCAACGTTGCACCAGAGATGACAAATAAGCGTTAAAAGTATCTGGGTATACTCAAAGGTCCGAGATTGTAACATGCATACCTTCAAATGTTTCAAGAAATGTGTTTCTCTCGGATTGAAGGCTCGATATCGGGTCGCTTGAAGAGTCGCCTATGGCAACGTTGAAATGCGCATGTGCAATTTTCGGTTACCTCCCAACTTCCGCCGGAAACCACGTGAGCGATGTAAACATGGCCTCTCAACTTTGGACAGTCTCAGACAGCAAGCAAGGCATGTAAAATGATGTTGAAAGAATCACTCTTTGGTCTTGATTTATTTTAAAACAATTTTGCACACATAATATTCATTAGTCACAGCTAAAAAATACATAGTTCGTCAGTTAATTTCTTTTGTTACACGATTTGCTGAATATAAACATGTAGATAGTATCCAACCAACGGCCACTAATGTTTGTCCTTTATGGTTCTTGGTACATTTTAGCGTAGGCTGCTGCAAAGTATAAGGTTGAACCATGCCAAATAGATTTGTATGACATTAGTTCACAAAAGCGAACACGATGAAAGAGTATAAACAAGCTGTTAGTTCCAGAAAAGATTTCAGAAAAAGTGTTTCCTATACTATAGTCTCAATATGTTTGGATTTTGTGATTGTGATTATGAATGATGTGCTGAGAATTTGTGATTTATTTTATTTTCCAATATTTAATCATCAGAAATGCATCACAGGAAGACATTGATAAGTTGTGTAACAACATACTGGAGATGATGTGCACGCCAGAAAGGTCTGGGGAGCTCAGTGGGATGCTGCGGCAGTTATGCTTCATACTCCAGGCATCTGAGGAGGAGCCTTTGTGAGTGCACTTAGATATCCTTTGAGCTGTATTTCATCTGTTTCCAGCATGATCATGATGAGAGTGTTGTCACGTTTAATATCAATTTGGGTATGAGTTATGTCTTGTTTTCTCATGATTTCCTATATGTCAAAGGGTAGCTAAATTTGAAGGGAACTGATGTTGTGTATACATGTTTATACAAGTGCTGGATGAATGCCCCTTGTAGATTGCCTACAATGCCATCCAGCAATTGTTTAAGTTGTCATGCTTGTAGTTTAGTAATAGTGTAACATTTAGTCTAAAATGAAATGAGGGAGGTTTCCCGATGACTTATGACTGAACTGCAGCATAAAACCTTATTACTCAAATCTGCTTGATACAGCATTTCCACCAAGCTGCTGGTGTCATTACTGTCAGCAGTGAGTCCAGCAGGAGCGAAGTCGAACCCCCGTCAGTGTTTGTTGTGTCAGCAGATTGTGTCAGAGCTACTCCCCTGTGATGGAGACTGTGCCAAAACTATCCAGCCATTGGACAAATCTCACGTGAACAAAGACCACCTACCTTTCTACATACTACAGGTAGGGTGGGGCAGACAGTGTGCTTTCCACTGACCGGGAACATGGAATAGGTGTGAAAGGAAGAAGGGACAGAGAGAGGGAGTAGGGAATAAAGTAATGGGACAGGTTATGGGTTGTATACTGAGTGGAAATGTGGAATAGGTGTAGAAGGAAGCAGGGTGAGGGACGATGACAGGGATTAGGGAATAAAATAATGGGAAAGGTTAGGGGTTGTACACTGAGGGGGAACATGGATTTTGTATTGTAGGAAGATGTTCTAGTCTCCCACATTGCTGCCTTTATGTTTCAGGGCGAGGGGTTTGGGTGTTTGGACCACAGTTTTTCTGAGGCTGTGAGGTGAGTATGGAAGGACTTTGTTAACTGTGAAAGATGAAGCTGAAACCTAGTGCAACAATGATTATGTTTCCTTTAAGTGAGGAATACATGGTGAGTGTTGTGTTTCTAAAGAACATTACACCATATTTTTTAAATCTGAGATGCCAGTTAGAGGTGTTAGTTATGTTGTCATACATGCTCCACAATACAACTGTTTGTATGACTCTGGACTTTCTTACAGGTGGTTGAGTACCAGGGGAGTTGACCTTGACACTCAGAGAAAGGCCTTCACCTTCCTCGTCTCCCTGTCAATGCTACATACCAAGCTTGCATCAGACAGTCAGTTCATTTCATATAATTTTTCCATATCCTGACTCATGATCTTTTGCTTATCTCCCTTTCCCTTGCGAATGGTAGTGGAACACTTGAATCCCTTGTAGTTACCGAAGCGGACGTAAAAATACACTCACCCACGAGGTTACCTCCCTTTCCCCGCGCAAACAGTCATGTGACCAGCCTTACTTGTCACTCTGTCCCTTTTCGCCCAAGCGGATGGCTGGGCGAGCACTGGAGTCCCGTATACGGTAGAGATCCTTTATATTTAGATCCTATTTATCAAAATTACACTGTGTATGGTATTTGGATATAACTATCATGTATTGATTGTATAAAATTTGAAGAAATTATTGTAATTTGTTGCACAATTTTCATCGTAATGTAACTTGTTTACATTTCATGAAATCTTGCATTGTTTGCAGGCACCGGCTATCTGTGGCTGATCCTCACCCCCCAATGCCCATCGTGCATTAAACCATGTTCTTCCACCTCACGTTGTACATATTGCAGTGATTTATCAAATTTGCAATTTAATAAATATTTGTCTTATATCTATAAACTTGCCATGGATCGGGTGAGGAAGTCATCACAAATCATGGTTGATAAACCTGGAGATCAAGCCGGTAACCGTAGGTTGTTTGCTACTGCAGATATACTGGTGCTATGTTGAGTACGTTGCAGGGGCAGTCGTCTGTTACGGGGTTGAAAAAGAGCTCTGCTACGACGGAGTTGATGCCCTCTCAGAGCAAGAAAAAGACTATTGCTTCATTCACAACGCAGAAAAGGGCATCTATAACTAGGTCTACATCGAAATCAACATGACCTAGCAAGTCAACTCATCAGAGGTCATTTAATGAGGAGATCATCCTACCGCCGTTACTTCTGCCTGAAGTACCTATTAGATCGGCGATGCAGTCGACCTCCACGATTACTAGATCGTCTCCTGCAACTACAACAGCGGGCCAGCTGTTTGACGGCCAACTTCTCAATGCAGTGAAGTTGAAGCAAACAACACATCAGTGTTCCCGAACGCTTCATCAACGCGAATCAGTTCCAGTCAACGCAGAACTTCGATCCAGGCGACTTTATGAGGCAATTTACTACTCAAATGATGGCCATGATGGAACAAGGTTTCGATGAGGAAGTGAAGGCATGACAGCGTTCGCAAACCCTCAGACCTACGCGAACCTAATATGCCTCACAGATCTACATCTGCAGACAACGTTGGCGAACGTGAACGTTCGAGAAGGTCATCACAATCGGACGACTCTGTCATAATAGAACAAGATGGAAGATCCACGAAGGCTACTAACTCTACGAGAACTTCGTCTGCGAACCCTCAACGTTCGAGAACGCCTAGGAATCCATCCCCAAGAACCAGCCGTTCCAGATCTACATCCCACATCTCTCACATGCAAAGAGAAGGTTCGCGCGGTCAGGGTTCGCGAGAGACTAGTTCGCGAAGGGATGGATCACGAGACAGACGTTTGCGAAAGGATGAATCACGACATTCGCGAAAGGAAGGTTCGCACATAAAGGATTCGTGAAGGCATAGTTCTACGGAACAAGAACTATCTGATGAACATACCGACTACATCTTCTCAGATACGGAAGTTACAGCTTGGATAGCTAATGGATTGAACTTAGAGTCTCCCTCCAAGGAATTGGATGAAGTTTACACATAAAAGATGTGCAAGGACGACTTTGACTCGGTGACCATTCCTCCTATTGAGCCAATATCCAAGGTGCTTTCGAATCTACGCATATCTTTTTGACAATGCTACTAGATTCCAGAATCAACATCTGCCAGCATTTAATGTGAGGAAAATCCCCTTACATCACATGGAAATCTTTGTGAGAGCGCCAGACTTAGATGAGAATATAAAACTGGTCAAAGAATCTCGGAACAAGATTTACAAGGTGGAGGATAAAAAGTTGTCCCAACTTGATACCGCAACGAGATCCTTCTTCGGATTAGCGAGGTCCAGAGCAATCAATGAGGCATTGATTAATAAGTTCCAGAACCCCAGTTCGGAAGAAGATAGGATGATATTATCTGCTCTGCTCACTCAGAAGAAGGACCAATACAACTATGGTCGAGTTCACTGAGCAACAGAATGCTGATGATCCACACAGACAACTCTACAGTGACATTCTCTATAAATCGGCAAGGATCAACAAGATCGCCAAGCCTACTGCAGCTCACATTCCAGTTGTTCAACATCACAGAGGAGGCAAACATCTGGATAAAGGCTCGTATGTCTGAGATACATGCGCTGGACTTTGGACGAACTAGATTCGACACAGGGCACCGTGCTGCAGTACATCTAGGACTTAGATGGGACTTTATTGCAAAGAATCAACTACCTGGTCAACCAGATAGACAGTTTCATGTGCTAGCGCTATCTACAATCCTCGGACCAGAGGACACCCAGGACTTATCCTTGTGTCCTGTCAGAGCCTTGAAGATATATCTTTAAAAGACTAAAACAAAGAGAAGAAAATTCAAGCACCTATTCATCCCCTTGTCGACAGAGACATCAGTGGAGGTCTCAAGAATGACAATATCGTTTTTGGATGAGAGCCGTTATACTAAGAGCCTACAAAGCAGCAGGATTAGAACCTCCAAGAGCTTCCAACCCAAACGATGTCAGAGCACTGGCATCAACACTTGCTCTACATGGAAATTGCTCTATAGCATCAATTATGGAGGGCTGCTTCTGGAAGTCAGATACAGTGTATGCCAACCACTACCTCCGAGACATAGCAACCGAAGACGTCTCCGGCATTCACCAGTTTGGGCCTCTTGTTGTAGCACAACAACTAACGGTTCCTCAAAGGCACTGAGTTGAAATCTCACCCTTTATCACGTTGATTTGTTGATAACTTTTACTATGGAAAAAGTTCTAGTTTGAAAGTCCATGCGCACAGTCTAGACTAGGCTAGCATGAATGATTAAGACTCTGTATGGGTAAAGATCTTACCTGTACGTAAAGGGGTCGCAACTCATTTATGATAAAGATCTTATCATAATCTATGGGTTGTTATAGATAACTAGTAAAAAGAAGATACTTAAGCCACATGAATCTACAAGATTCACTTGTCTGAGAGAGAAGTAAGACAAGATTGTGGTCCCCCCGAGTTACAACGGAAGTTGGAAGCATAGGATCTAGGAAATGCCGTTACGCAGTTCCCATGGGGGGGAGACAGGACGAATCTATGGACAGCTGTTGAATCCAAGAAGTGTCTTGACCCACGACCAATCGTTAGGATTCTATAAGCTAAAGATCATGAGTCAGGAAAAGGAAAAATATGTAATTTTTTAAGTAAAATTGATATTTTATACTTATCCTGACTCATGAGGAGAAGCCCTCCCAACCTCCCCGCTGGAAACATTTCGGATTTCACAGTAGATCCAGGTGCATGGGCAGAAAAATCAGGAGAGAGTGATAAGTAAGGCTGGTCACATGACTGTTTGCATGGGAAAAGGGAGGTAACTCGTTGGTGAGTGTATTTTTACGTCCGCTTTGGGAACTACAAGAGATTCAAGTGTTCCACTACCATTCGCAAGGGAAAGGTAGATAAGCAAAAGATCATGAGTCAGGATAAGTATAAAATATCAATTTTACTTAAAAAATTACAATTTTTCCTTATCCTGACTCATGTTTATTTGCTTGTCTTCTTCTTCTGGCGAACCTAGTGGAACACTTGTATCTCCCAATTGAAGTTCCCTTCAATAAAAAATCCCTCATTAGTACTGACCACGAGTTACCTCCCTTCCACAAGCGTGGGAACGAGGGCGCCACCTGAACCCATGTGCCTCACTCTCTCCTTCTTCGCCCAGTGAGCAAGACGTGAGAGCAACTGTGTCTCCCTGCACACTATATCCTTTATTTATATTTAGTTTGTTACCTCTTATATTCATCTATAGAGGTGTAACTAGTATCATTATTCAACATGCATTGATAATTATTCGTGGTTTCTGCTGCTTGATTCACAGTTCGCCGTGTTTGCTCAGCAGTTTCATGCTAATAAAAATCTGCACTGTTTGTAAATTACGCTACTCTGCTACCGATCCACATTTAAAATGCCCTAGTTGCATTACTCCATGTTCTATTGTTTCTCGTTGTAAATTAAATATTAATTTACCAATTTCTGCCTTTGATAAATATTTATGTTCCGCTTTTGAGACGGAAGGCAGATAAATCTCGAAACAATCTTCAGTCATGGCTAATAGATCGGAGTCAGATATATCCTGAGTTACCTTCGGGGATAAGCATGGGACGAGTCCGCTATATCTAGAGTTTACCTGCTTCCCAGGACGTTCCTTCATCACAGTCTAAAACTAGAAGAACTTCCACGCCGTCTCAACGATGCTCCGAGCCCCCCCAGGTCTACAGCCTCGCCAAAGGGAAATCCACACTAAGACTACTAAAAACTTTGCTTCTGATATTTAGAATTATGTTTATATGATGATGACATTTCGCTTATCATTCCAGATGTATGTCATAAGAAGTGACCAGTACGGCTACCGCCACTTCAGCGCAGATCAACATGCAATCAGAGATGCCTACGCTGACGATAATTATAACTGAGGGTCCCGCCACTATCACAGAGAGGACACCCTCAACGCCAGCGCAGACCATCCCAGACCACCTGGTCAACCAAATCATGAGGCTGATGGAAGACCGCTATGGCTTACAGAGGCCTCAGAGCCACGGGCCCCAGAGCCCACCCCATACTAAGTCATGCAAGGCCCCAGAGCTCCGCCTTTGACTTCGCGTGAGGGCCCCTGAGCCCATAGACGCGCGCCGCCGCGAAAGGGCAACACCCTGCCCGAGTGAGCTCTTTGCATAAGGTATCCCAGGTCGCCCGAGGAGGAGCTAGAGCCTGACCCTTTGCAAGAGGCTTCGCTGAGAAGGAGCGCCAGCCAGCACGACCTTGTCATGTACGGCGGATGCGCGCAAAGCAAGCACTCATATGTCGGATCGACACTGACTCCAGACATTCGCGCAAGACGCGAAGGCTAAGTGGTTCTACAACGCCTAGAAGGCGTTCGCGTAGCCCTCGACATTCGAGAAGTCCAGAGCGTCTCGAAGCCCACAGTTTCCGCGAAGGATGTCTTCTCCAAGGTCTACATACACTAGCCAATCGTCAGTCCGTTCTCCTCAGTCCTCACATAGATCTTCTTACAGATCGAGGCTCCGACATACGACCATACGTCAGAGGAAGACGATGGTATCATTTAAGATCGAAGGAGCGCTTCGCCGAGCCCACACCCTGTAGAACACAGAGGTCGTTCCCGAAGCAAGCGCTCATATATTGATCGGACTCTGACTCGATACTTCGCGAAGGTCGCTAAGGCTAAGTGGCTCCAAGTCTACTTCACCCAGAAGATCTAGAAGCGCATTTCGAGATCTTCGCTAAGTCCTCGGCGTTACGGCCGAGGAAGTCTCCTCCAAGGTCTCCATATACTAGCCACTGGCCATATATAGCCACTCGTCAGTCCGCTCAAGACATCACATGAGTTGTTTATCAACTGTAAGCCATATGCCGCCTACAAGCCTCACGCGAAGACAATTGCACAGGCTATTTACAACACACAACGCCGCTGTATTAATTTATCAACGGATGAAGAGCCTTATTAGGAATCTTCAAGCCGACTACCTACTACGATCACGACGATTATCTACATGTGTGACCATTACGCAGATCTGCAGACAATTCAAAACGAAATTGAACAGCAGTCTTGTTACAGCGTAGTAAAACTCATAATCGCCAACGATTTCCTCAGAAGTAATATGTACAACAAGTTCAGCTTTAACAGTCTACAAGCTGACAACTTGCAAGGTTATTGAACCTTATATAAGGAAGTCGGAATTATCTTCAAGACTGAAGTTACTTTCACGACAGCCTGGAAAATAACTTACCCAGCATTAATATTACAGAGCCAGGTATTTCGCTACCGGAGGTTTCAGCGTTTACCATCAACCCTCAAACACGCGTGGTCACCGGGTAACTTCGGGAAGTTACGGTGAAGACCGACGATTGTTCTAATATCAACGACGGCACTATATTATACAAGGTTCCTTTCCTGATACACCGGTGACGCCACAGCTGGTACTCTACAGAATCAAAATGCCTTGTTCTGATTGGACCGAGATGGACAACGCCCTACGAGAGGTCGATCATAGTTCACAGTTCAACACATAGGTTGCAAGTGACAACAATATATCAGTGAACGAGCAAGCCTCCTTACAGTCCAGCTAATCTAAACCTTCATGATTGGGCTGCCTTCTTGAGGTTAGAGACCTCCCCTGTCAAGTAAGGACGAGGACACGGCAGTCAGACGATTTTTTACATAAAGTTCAACGATGGCAGTCACCCCTGGTTATGCATCTACATCGTCAAGCACTTCGCAGCGAATTTACCTCGACGACGGGATACAAATGGATCCAAATCCATAGCGTCTCAGACTACAGTTGAATTCATCATCAAGCTACTAACACAACTAGATGGTTAGTAAACCTACTTAAGTTGGACCTAGAACCTTCGCAAGATCTGCTATTTCTAGGTTTTTGATTTGTAACGGCGCAGAAGTGCTCGAATCTGTTAATACATCCGCACACCAAACAAGCGCACGGAAAGCCAGATATATTCCAACTTCACGTATGGATTGTATCAAGGCGTGTCTGAATAACAACTTATTCAGCCAGAGCGGCAAAGCAGTCTAACTTGCCCTGCGTAACTCAACTGGCAACTTATACGATGCTAATGGCACAGTTTTGTCAATTATGCTGCAAAGGAAGGATTTACAGCTAGATATGCTACTCATCCTCAAGTGGCGGACTACTTATGTTATCTACGTCAGACTAAGATTTTATAAGGCTCAGCTTGTCCACCTATCTTGCAGCAATAGCTCTATCATAACTGAGAACGGGCCAAGTTAACCTAACCCAGTTACTCGCCTGCTACGAAGCTTTCCGATTGGAGGATTAAAACGGAAGTTCACGCTCCAACTTGGGATCTGAATAAAGTGCTCCAACACCTCACAAGTGAGGTTCATGAACACGCTTTGATGATATACTTGAACCCCATGATACGATGAATCTATCACGATGGCCAGTAACAGCACTGAAAATATATCTCCACCGAGCCAAACAGGAGGGAAAAATGCAAGAGATTTATTTCCTCTATCAAGCTACGCAGACGGAAGTCTCACGTACTACTATATCTCCTTTGGATCAGAACTGTCATACTCACGTGCCTACAAAACTGTAGGACTCTACCCTCCATGAGCTTCTAATCCTCATAATATTAGAGCGCTAACATCTACAATTGCTCTACACAAATGCCTTTGGAATAATGGAGGGTTATTTCTGGAGATCCGATATGGTGTTTGCCAACCACTATCTGAGAGATATCACCACCGAGGACGCCTCAGGTATCCACCTATTCAGTCCCATGGTCCTCACACAACAGTTGACAGTTCTCGGAGAAGATAAGTCCATCTTACAGAATTTTACTTATCTTATAACAGTACTAAATAGCTACATGCTATATATATTTTGCTTAAGTTCAATTTATTATCTTAAGCTCAGTACTATGGTTATTATATCATACAATATGTAAGCTAACAACTCTAATGGAGTTTGTTATTATATATTTAGCTTAAGTTAATCATATCTTAAGCTCAGTACTATGGTTACATTATAAATATATTAGCTAACAAACTCCACGGAGTTTTTGCTATTATATATGTAGCTTAAGTTTATTCATATCTTAAGCTCATTACTATGTTTATATCATATAAGTATATAAGCTAACAAACTCTAAAGAGTTTTTACTATCATATACTTAGCTTCAGTTTCATCATATCTTAAGCATTATGGTTACATTATAACATGTATTAGCTAACAAACTCTACAGAGTTTTTGCTATTATATATGTAGCTTAAGTTTATTCATATCTTAAAGCTCAGTACTGTGTTTATATCATATAAGTATATTAGCTAACAAACTCTAAAGAGTTTTTACTATCATATACTTAGCTTAAGTTCATCATATTTTAAGCATTATGGTTACATTATGATATTTAATAGCTAACAAACTCTACGGAGTTGTTTTGGCTATTTAGGTTGCTTAAGTTAATTATATCTTAAGCACAGTTCTATAATCATACTATATATATGCCTACAACTCTTAGGAGTTCTACTATTATATATATGTTCAGCTTAAGTTTCAATCCTTAAGCTCAGTCATATGTTCATTTCATAACATGTATTAGTTAACAAACTCTCAGTAGTTGGTTACTATTATACAGCTTAAAGTATCATTATACCTTAAGCACAATTCTGTTATAACTTACATATATGCATATTGTAAGCTTACTACTTTGGTTCTTATAAAAGTATTCATTATAAACTATCAACAGTTTATACTATCACAGTAATAGCTTTAGCTTAATTAATGTTCTATATACTTTTATTATATTCAGTAAATTGTAATAACCCTTGTATGGCAACTGATAAGTTAACAGCAGGAATTCAGTTCAGTGCCTTCATGAAGTTCCCTTAAGGTTATTACAATTATCTCAGTTCAAATCACTAATTAGTAAAATCCAAAGTATATATAATCCCACCTCCTATTCCGTAGGATTCTACAAGCAAATAAACATGAGTCAGGATAAGGAAAAATATGAAATTTTTAGAGTAAAATTAATATTTTTATACTTATCCTGACTCATGAGGTAAGCCCTCCCATCCTCCCCACTTAACACTTTGGATTTCCCTGGAAATTCAGGTGTTGGGCTCAGTATATGAGGAGAGAGTGAGGCACATGGGTTCAGGTGGCGCCCTTGTTCCCGCGCTTGTGGAAGGGAGGTAACTCGTGGTCAGTACTAATGAGTGATTTTTTATTGAAGGGAACTTCAATTGGGAGATACAAGTGTTCCACTAGGTTCGCCAGAAGAAGAAGACAAGCAAATAAACATGAGTCAGGATAAGTATAAAAATATTAATTTTACTCTAAAAATTTCATTTTTCTTACATCTAGATTTGATTGTAGAAATTCAGAAGAATGACATAGACACAGTGTTAATAGTTGCCTTTTGAGATCTATTGTGTATTGCATCTCAAGAATATAGCTGTATGGTTGAAAGTAAACAGCCATATTTCTACACACTCAAACTGCAGATTTGCGTGTTTGGCCTTGACTGTGTTTAGTAATGTAAGTGACTTCTAAGAGAGAAGCAATTGGTTACAGAGATAGTTCTGAAGACAAGTGAGCAGCTGTCCAAGTGGCTGGTGTCCGCTTCCCGCTATCAGGCTCCCAATCCTTACACCAAGAACCCTTTCCGTAAAGATGAGTCCAACCTCGTCACCGAAGTAGATGGCACTCCAAGTCGCAATTTCTTTACAGTTCTGAATATAGGTAGGTCCAGGACTCATAACTCCCCACCTCACAGACATCCATACTGTACACAGATAGCTAAGTGGAGGATGTTTGGGGTTACAGGAACTTACACTAGGTCTCCAGTATCCACAATGCCTGTTGATGTTGATGACTTTGGTGTTTAACAATATTCAGTAATATGCTCTGTGGAATCAACTTGTGAATTCAGTTTGACCTTTTTGTGTAAATATACAAACAATGGATTTTTTCCAGCAATTGTATGTACATATGTACATATGGAAATGATAATTTAAAGTTGTGATATGTGTAGACGGTGATATTTTCTCATTCATGTGTCCACAGTCATATTTATAGTTTCGTCTTTGAGTTGGTTAGATAACAGCTATCTGAATGTAAACAGGTGTATAAGGAGTTGGTTTCAAGGTATATCAAGACCAATGAAAAATTCCAAGACTTTATCATAATGTTATCTTGACATTATGGGGAATTCAAATGCTTTCTAACAATAACATGGATCTGTTCAGGGCAGTACTTCACAGACGACCAGTTCCTGAACATCTACACGTTCTCACTACTGTACCGCTGGCTGTACCACAACAACATCAACTGTGGTGATGGTGAGGCCACAGATGCTGACAGCAGCAAGGATCGGGAGACTCCTTTGTCTATGTTGGCGACAGATTCTCCACAGAGCTCTCCACGGAGAGATGGAACTTCCCCATCATTTGCGTCTCTTGATTCCCCATCGCGAGGGACAACACCCGTTAGTTCTCTCGACTCAAGTGACCAGTTTTCATCAATGATTTCCGAATCCCCTCAAAGAGGGAGTGCCCAGTTTTCATCAGTGATTGCCGAATCCCCTCAAACAGGAAGTGCTCAGTGTTCATCAATGGCTGGGGAATCCCCTAGAAGAGGGAGTGCTCAAGTTTCATCAATGATTACTGAATCCCCTAGGAGAGGGAGTGCTCAGCTTTCATCAGTGACTGGTGACTACTCTCGAAGAGGGAGCATTCAGCAGTTGTCAATGAGAATTGGCACTCCGGACTCGCAAGACAAGGGGAGACAATCAAAGGTGTTTGGGTCCCTGTCCTCGCGCACCGTTGACTACTGTTTCCGTGTGCTGGACCAGTGTGAAAGAAGTAAGTAGGATATTCATTTCATTTCCTTTGGTGATCAGGGAGGGCAGACAGAGCTGTAAGAACAGTTGTCTAAATACCCAGAATGATGTAGGTTAGTTATGTACATTCAGGAAGGTCATCCTGTCACCTTGGGTTTGAAATATAGCAATCAGATATGCTGACCAGTGATGCTGATATGAATGTTTCGCACGCATACCCCAGAATTTAGAAGTCTGATGGCTGATCCAGCTGACTGGGTGATCAGAAAGTTCATCTGATGCAAGCTCCTGTGGGCGTGTCCTCAGATCTTCATCATGTTCATGCTGATACTATCATAAAAAGAAAGTAAAAGAATAAAAGAAATCTGTACCAAGCCATGCCTGCAGGTGGTTTATAAGTTACGTGTGTCAGGAGTACAGGAACTTCACACTACAAGACTAAAGGCTGAGGCCTGTATACAGATGTGAAGCATGTAAAATCCCAGTTTCACAAAATACAGGAACTTAATTCTTTTTCATAGAGATCTTCCTATGGGGTACATATATGCATATTTTTGCGACTGAAACTGTCATGTGACAGGTAAGCACCATAGCCCAAATCATCATTCCTTCTGCTGTCATGCTACGTGCAACACGTGCTGGCTGACTGAGTTCTACAAGAAATGTCTGAGACTTCGACTACTGTATGTATATTGTCATTATTCGTTTTGGGGAACGTTTATTGACTTTCAGTTGTTCATGTCTTATTTTATGTGACATATAGTTGCAATTTACACTATTTTTCCCCATGGTTTACATAAATATTGCTATTCCATTTTAGCGTTGTACACGTTTGAAACTTGCTTATTAAAACAATTGTTTCATGCTGCATTGTTTTTTTTCATAAAATTTTCTGTTTTGTACATGTTATGGTGTTTCCCGCTGTTAGCGTCATGCTTTGCATGTTTGCTTTCAGGCGTTTACGGTGTGCTCCGCTTGTGGGCAAAACATACCACCTCAGGATGGGCATGATAAATGCTTATGCTGCCTTGAGAAAGCCGGTCATAATCCGGACGTATGTGAGCTATGTCTGGGGTTTTCACCTTAGGACTAGGAAAAGGAGAGCAGTGGACTTCCTTTTCTTCAAAGACTTACGTGAGGCGGGAGGTGACTCCATGTCGGAGGTCCCTCCATCCAAAGCTAAAAAACCTAAACATAGGTCTAAAAGTACTTAGGATAAACCTGCGTCTGTTTCTACCCCTCCTGTTAGTTCTCAGCCTTCATTTGATATGTCGCTTATCAATCATTTGTTTCAACAGCACATGGACACGATGAAGTCGTTACTCCACGATTCGGTTGCTGGGCTCCTCCAGGAGTTCCTCACCAACTCGGGGGGTGGGGCAGAGAGTTTTGGTGTGGGATTGGCAGGCTTGGCTAGATCCCCCAGCCTCGAATTTGCCGTTGATACTTTGGCTTCGGTTCCGTCTGTCTCGCCTCTGGCGGTGGGGGAGGGTTCGCACCCAGTCCCTGTCCCTTCTGGCTCGTGTCCCGTTGAGTATCCCCGGTGTGCCGGGGGCTCCAACCACTCGAGCTTCATCCTTGAGAGAGGAGGCCACTGTTATGCCAGTGGACCTCTCTGAGTCTCGGGACCGGGGCCCTGTTCCGTGCGTGGCGGTCGGGACGGAGAGTTTGTCTGGTTCTTTCTTTCCCCTGGTGTCCTTGGGTCGGTGGTTGGGTTCTCCCTTTGGGTTGGTCGCGACTCTGGCTCAGGCTTGGAGGCCGAGTCGATGGAGGTCGGGGATGCAGAAGAATCAGAGGGAACTTTCCGTTTTACATCGGCCTTACGGGAGGTGCGCCAGCACATAGCACTGGTTCTCCCTCAGGCTGCGATCCCCTTGGAGCAACAGGGCTCGGCTGAGTTCCACCTTCTGGGGGAGGCTTTCGCCCCACGGCAGCCTACTCAGACGCTGCTCTGAGTGCGTGTTCACTTCAGTGACCCTCAGGGGAGGCTCGGCTTCCTCGTTAGCTGCTCTTTGCAATCCGTGGCGACTCAGGTGATGTGTGCAGTCATGGGTATGCGCGGGCTGTGGTTGTTGACTTCCAGGTATTCCGCGGCGACAGGTATTCCGCTGGCCCTTCCATTTTGGCTTGGGGGTGGGGTGTGTGTCCGGCAGGAGTGGGAGAAGGCTACAACTAACCCTGGACTGTTACTGTCGGCCACTTACCACTTTCGAAGCGAGGCCGGCCAGAGTTTACCGGCATAAAGCGCACTCCCGTGCCGTCCTGTCTGGTCAAGGCAGGTATTCTGCGAGACGAGGTTCAGGCTTTGCTGTCCAAGTCCGCAATAAAGCGTGTTCCACCGGGAAAGGAACTATCAGGTCTGTATTCCACGTACTTTCTTGTCCCGAAGAAAGACGGAGGCTTCCGTCCCACACCCAACCTCAAGGGGTTGAACCGCATGATAGAGGTTCCATCCTTCAAGATGGAGACACTTCGCTCGGTGATCTCCTCTGTTCAGCCCGGCGATTGACTCATGTCGATCGACCTAAAGGATGCGTATCTTCATGTGCCAATACATCCCTCGTTCAAGCGTTACCTTCCTCTTGTTCGACGGGATTTGTTACCAATTTCGGGTGCTCCCCTTCGGCATATCTACTGCCCCCAGGGTGTTCACCAAGCTCATGTTAGTGCCGGACATATTAGCTCGGTCGCAAGGAAGGCATTGTCATCCTTATCTGGACGCTTTCCATGTGACTGGTTGCTGCGGGCACTAGCTCAACCAGCGAATCTAGACTCTACTCACATTGTGTTAGATATTCTAGTTCGCTGGGGTGGATCGTGAACCTCAAGAAATCCGACCTGGTACCCACCCAGGACTTTATTTATTCTCGGGGCGTGGTTCAATACACATCAGGGTCTGGTTTCCCTTTCGCCTGATCGGATCACCAGAGTATGGGAGTATGTCCCGTTCCTCTCACGCCCAGGCCGCTGCCACGGACATGGCTCCGGTTGCTGGGTCACATGGCGGTGACCGTCTCTGTGTGGCAGGTGAGGCTGAGGATGCGCCCTTTACAGCAGGCTTTGGCATGTCTGTGGGCTCACTCAGAGGATTTGGAGAAGTGTCTCACAGTTCCCAAGTGGTTATTTCCTCACCTTCAGTGGTGGACCGATGTCGGGAATCTCTCCAGGGGCTTCCACTTGAGCCTCCCAACACCAGTTCTCTCAGTTCAGACGGATACATCCCTTGCGGGCTGGGGGTGTGTGTTCTCGGCAGTCTGTCGATGTCCGGACGCTGGTCTGTAGCCGAAGCCCATCTTCACATCAACATATTAGAGCTGAGAGCCGCCAGGTTGGTATTCGAGCGCTTTGGGGATTACGTTCGGGGCCAGGTTGTTCATCTGCAAATGGACAGCCACAAGGCCATGACGTACATACTGGAGCAAGGCGGCACAGTGTCTCCAGCGCTCTTTTAGGGGACGTGGGAGTTCCTACTGTGGTGCGACCAGTATAACTGTGAGGTGGTTCCGGTATATCTCCCGGGGCTGCAGAACGTTCGAGCAGACACGCTCTCTCGCCGGTCCTGGTCCCGCACGAGTGGATGCTCAATCAGCAGATATTCAGAGTTATCTCCCAGTTGTACGGGTCGTTCCAGGTGGATCTGTTCGTGTCTGCGGGAGGAATCAGATACTAGTGTTCTGCTCTAGAATACCAGAAGGTGTACAAGACAACCGTTCAATATGAGAATAGGTGGTCCCGCTATGCTCGCTGATGTTCAGATAGGGGGATTGCAGATCCCTTTTCTGTGGATTTAATCCGAGTTTTGGAGTTCCTTTAGTCTCTTTGGCGGCTTCGACCATTTGTGGCTACTCCACTGCTATTTCCACTTTTCACACCCCTGTCAATGGTGCTCTTCTGGGGCAGCACCCTCTTATGCAGCGCTTCTTAGCTGGCGTGGATCGGTAAGCAAACAAGCCCACCTTGGGAATTGTCAATTGTGCTAGATTGGCTGTCCGGTCCTGCTTTCTCACGGCTATCGGCTATTTACCTTAAGTTGTTAACGGTTTCCTGTGGCGGTGACATCCGGTAGAAGGGTCGGCGATGTTCACACAATGTCGTCCGACCCGCACTGACGGGTTTTCACCATGATCGGGTCAGTATTCGCCTCCCGGATAGTTACCGTCCGAAGATCGATCACGCTTTCCATGTGATAGCTCCTATTGATCTTCCCACTCTTACCCAGTCTTCTACATTGGGGACCACTCCTACGCGTGCTCACCCGTTGGATCTCCGTAAGACCCTCAAGGTCTATATCAAACGAACACAGGGTATCCGTATCTGTTACGGTGATGAGAAAGCTGTGGTTCCTGCCAGTAAACAAACTATCTCTCGCTGGCTTGTTTCTGTCATCTGTGCAGCTTATCAGGCTAAGGGTAAGCTTCCCCGAGGGGTTGAAGGCTCAATCGGTTAGGGCAGTGGCTACTTCAGAAGCTTTGCAGCGGCACTGCCCATTGAAGATATTTGCTCAGCCGCTATTTGGCGTCAGCCGAGTTCTTTTATCCGACACTACAAGTTCAACATGCATTCTAGTGATCGTGCTAGTTTTGGTCGGTCTGTTCTCTCCAGTGGACAGTGTTCTGCCACCCTGACCGAGTGAGTCTCGGTTCATTATTTTGATTCTGATTTTCGATTGCTCTAATCGACTATCCACTGAAGGCTCATTGTTTACTTATACAATATATTCTCCTGTCGGTGTTGATTATATTGTTATGTGTACGCCCTTTCGGTGCTCAATCATGAATTGTCACTATGTGGGCTGGGCGTTTCCGAACATGTATCATGTTCTCATTCATTTACACTTTTGGCTCGGATCTGTGTACAATCCTCCCTTTCGGGTCACCTCCCATCATGCCTCTCTTCGAGCTGCGGGTCATATATGACCAGGTGAGTGTTTTTAGCGTAAGTAGCATGCTTCGTCCACAATATCGCTAATTTTCTTGCACCTAACAGAATTCCCACCTCCCTAGCCTTCGGTCTTTGGGAGTCTGTGTTTATGCATATATGTACCCCAAGGAAGATCTCTATGAAAATGAAATAGCTAAACCTGTAGAGGTTTCCAATTCTTTGAAGATAATCTTCCTTGGGGTAGGGCCGACCACCTCCCTGCAATTCTGTTTACTGACGCTTTGTCAGCAGAAGGAATGATGATTTGGGCTAGGGTGCTTACCTGGTTGGCCACGCATAGTATAGTAAATACAAAGGCATATGACATTTTCAGTCCCAGAAAATGCATATATAATGTAGATTCTCTTCAAAGAATTGGAAACCTCTACAGGTTAAGCTAAGTTTATTTAAATAGTTTTTGATGATGATAAATATTTGTACATTTGCATAGGCGGATCCAGAGGGGGGTGGGGGCAGGGTGGGGTGGGGTGAGGTTGCAGGGGTGCCCCCTCGCCCTTTTGTCCTGAAAGTTTATGAAGTTATTATTTGACAATTGAATACAGTTGAAAATGAAGTGTGCACCCCCTCACTTCTCAAACATCTGTATCCATCCCTGATTTCTTGCTCGTTGAATTCAGAGTGTAAACAGTTGCCGCGATCAAGACTTCATGATGTATGTAGACCATCAAGGGTTTACAAGGCAGTTAATAGCTAATCAGCTGGTTAGATTTGGTCAGGTTTGTTGCTGAAACCTCTACTTCTGATTATGAGATAATGTGTGCTGATGTCAGTCAGCTGAAAGGCACTACTTATGCCCATTGTATATCTTTTTCAGAGCCAAAGGTTAACACTGATGCTGAACTGCAGATTGCTGTAAGTACAAAACTGACTCTATCTGATGTAAAGGATGGTCCAATACATTTCTTGGCACTGTCTCTTGCTCTGGAGCATAAAAGCAATACACTTGTTGAAATGATGTGTATTCATGAGAAGTTGGCAGAGTTCTGAGATGTCATTAATGAATGAAGGAATTGTATTTTCCTCAGTTTCTAGACAGATGAGTCTTGTTCATATACAGGTATTGTCAGTTAGTTAGATATGTCCTGCTACAGTGTGATATCGCAGCAAGTTTAAATTATCACAGGAAACTAAAAATGATTGAACAGTCTTTTGATGTTTTTTTCAAGAATGTCATTCACCCTGGACAAAAAACATTATTGTGGGATAAAGTGTATTTATAATTTAAGAGACATTTTGCACCAGATAATAAAGATTGCTGAAAGTGTTGCCTGGTATGTTCCAACTGTTTATTGTCTGCAGTGCTTGGTTGAGGCAGTGACTGTCCTTGACCTCATCTGTGAGCTGGATGAAGGTCATGTTCCTCGTGTGCACCAGGAAGTGAAGCGTCTGTATGCTCGCGTGTCATCTGAAGCCCAATATGCACCCATTGTACTGCAGATATTGCAGTTCTTTGTTAACCACAGTAAGTTAAACATGTTTGAAACAGTGTAGAGGAATACTTCATGATGAATCTTGCCAGAACGGGCTTGACCATGTTGCCTTATTTAATTACAGGATATTGTGATGAGTTAGACAAACATTTGTTCAATAATTCCTGCAAAATGATTTTGAACCCTTGCCTCAGAGTGGCAGTTCTACAATGTATATGTTAAATACAACCAGTTCACATGACAAGCTAGTAATATGTCCTGAGTCCCAGGTTCTAACAGCTGGTCTCAGATGGCCTGTGTTCTGCATGGGTATCTGGATATACACTGGCTATTTTATATGGTTATAGTAGAATGAAATTGCACAACTGCAAGGATGGGAATTTGGTGAAGATCAAAATATTTTATGATTGCATGAACAATGCTTGAAATTCTTAGGAGATTTAAGTCCATCATATTAAACAGGTAGCGCTGTGGTCCATGACCCTGGAGATACATACCTGCACTACTTCCGTAATGTGTTGGGCCGCAACTTCCACGATCCAGGTGTGGCATTCGACACCATCAGATTTATTCTGCGTAACCTTGAGACCCTGTGTCATACAACCAAGGTCCTCTCTTCTTTCTTCCCCAACATTCTGAAGGTAGGTGTAGACAAATGACATTGCAGATGCAGTTTACAGTCTATTCCCAATCATGTCCGTATTTTGAATTTCTTTTCTTGTTAAATGGACAACATGCATATGTTTTACTGCAAGTGTTCCTAAGGGGTGTCTGTGCACTGATTACTGATATGTGATGTGTGTGTGTTGGTTATGTTTGCCTGTTCATCAAACTCATCTTCCTGACTGTAACAAGTATGATCTTAAATTGAGCACACTTTTGGTAAAAATATAATCCTAGCTCAGTGTTGACTTATTTGTAAGAAACTTTGTTCTGCCTATAATGGTACATTTGAATGTATCTAATCGTATGTTGACAGATTCTTGCCTGGCATCCGCGGACATTTGTGTCTGAGTTTACAGAGATCCTGCCTGCCCTCATGTCTCCTGCCACAGCCATGGAGGTGAGTCCATGCCGTTAGGGCAAATACATTTTGCCTTATCCTGACCAATACTATATTGATTATCTTTCATTCTCTCGAAATGAAGTGGAAACTTGTGTTCCGGAAGAACAGAAAAAACATCCAACCTGAACACATCCTTGCTCCATGCAGGCATACCAGAACCACATGACTAGTTCAGTTTACTTGTAGCATGCCCCACAGTTGTACAGGTCTGACATGGAGCTCTACTTGGTAGGTGTTCCACACAGTCCTTGACCTTCCATGCGTCACAGCAGCTTTAGAGGTTATCGAGAAAGCCAAGAAGATTGAGCATCTAGGTCAGGGATCAACTGGGGATGCGGAACCATCCAACTCTGTGGAGGCCTTCCAGCACCCGTTCTACAGACCTCTGTTCAGCTTTGTCACCCGCTACGACGGTGGCCACGGAGACACCATCGACAAGTATGTACACTTCATGCAGCATGCAACACACAATTACTAAAATATTTACATGTTTTGATGTAAGAATCATTTAACTAATATTGTATGACTGTAATTTGGTCATAATTGCTTTTCAATGCTTGTATCAATTCAGTGACAGTTTTCTAAGGAATCAACTCATCTCTTTGTGTGTTCCCCAGATTGTCGTCTCTACACAACATCTTGTCTGACATGAAAGCCTTACCCAGGGTGGTGGTGTGCTCCCAGACAGTGCCAGTACTAGTCAGGTAATAGTACTTGTTCTAGTGGGTAAATGACATGCTGAGATTGTTATTGATCCAGGGGCTACACCATGTCGATTCCAGCTTCAATAAGGTAGCCAGCAAAGACGAGTACAAATACTATGTGCTGTACAGATGGCCAGTGACTTGGCTGTTTGCATGTTATCATAGCCATCAAAGGTGGAAAGTTGACAGGTGTCTTGCTGGATGAGACAAACAAACATCCTGATAACACCAAAATAGGATCAGTTTGTAGGAGACATGTTTGACCAAACCATCACTGGGACTCCATCTCCAACCCCACCTTTCCTTCTCCCTGCACCATCTCCTACAGTTATCCTTCTGTGTGTGATGTATTGTCAACATGACTCCTGTTGTCCAGGGTGTGGTTCTCTGTGGTGCTGGAGGAGGTGGACGTGGAGTTCGCAGGGCAGCTACTTCCTGTCATGCTGGAGAGGTCCTCTCTGCTCTACGCTATCCCAGAATTCCAGAATGACATCAGAAGGTATGCCACGACCTTAGTTAGAAACCAATGATGTCTTTATTCTGGTTCTACTGTACTGCTACAATATATAGTATTTAAGGAAAATTTACGGAAAACGTCTGATCTGTTCTCATACTGAGTTTTGTTGCCGTGTGACGATAGTAGGTCCATTGGTGAGTCAGTGGGTGAGTTTAGTTTTAAGCCGCACCCAGCAATTTTCCAGCTATATGGCGGCGGTCTGTAAATAAATGAGTCTGGACCAGACAATCCATTGATCAACAGCATGAGCATCGATCTGCGCAATGGGGAACCGATGACGTGTGTCAACCGAGTCAGTGAGCCTGACCACCCAATCTCGCTAGTCGCCTCTTATGACAAGCAGGGGTTACTGAAGATCAATATTCTGACCCGGACCTTCATGGGTAAGGTCCATTGGTGATACTTTAAGGTGTCCAGTGGAAGTTGCATGAGGGAGCAGAGAGATTCTTTGTTGGAGGAGGGGGAGATCTAAATCTTAAATTATTATAATTGATTATTCTCGAATTGTAGTGAATGATTAGTGGTATAATACATAATACTTAATCATGATATTTATTATATTGAATGACTTCAAGAACTGTAATGACTGGTCTTGAGTGACACTGCTAATTTGAATCACAGACTCTTGTCTGAGAACCTGGTTGCCCTGCTACGGAAGTACCCCAGCATCGTGAACAACCAGTACCAGGAGATCTCCACCTTCCTCATGGGCACACGCGACTTCTCTGACAGGGAGGCCATCTTCTCTAATCTGGTGAGTCTTAGGTCAGACATGTCACATTTCACAATCATACTCCAGTGTAGAGCACTTCACAATTGTACTTTATTATATACAACTGCAAGCCATGAAATAGTGTGATTACCAAGTTGGTTGCACTCGTCTGAATCAACAGCCTGGAGCATGATATGGTGTCACTGTGTGAGGAGCATGTCTGAGGAAGAGCAACATCCTTCATGTTGTTGGACTGCAGTGTGTTATGCCCTACACTGGGCAATGGGCATCCATGAAGTAACACAACTCTGTAAGGATTGCTCAAACTTGTGTCTGTTCAACAGACCCATCATTGTTCATTTTATACATATTACTGTTAGCTGTGACTAGTAGTGGGGTGGTGTGGTAGCCGAGTGGTAAAAGGGTTCACTTGTCACACCAAAGGCTGGGTTCGATTCCCCACTTGGGCACAATGTGTGAAGCCATACTCACTCACTAACGCACATGTTGTAGGTGTGGTGTGTAGGTGAGCTCTGTTCCCTTCACCATGACCCCGGCTGTACGGCAGACCTCATCGCCAAGTATTATGAAACTCTTGAGGCAATGACCTATGAGGTGTCAGGCTTGCTGTTGTCTGCAGAACATAGGTCGGAGGTCAGCCCGAAGATCGTGTCAGTACTCATCTCCGCCATAGCCAAGGTGAGTGCATCCTCCAGACCTGTGTCACCCAAGGTCATCACAGCAGATGTTTTAGCTCTAAGATCACTCTGTGAATGTAGCCATAATTGCTTTATTGTACCCGAATCATATTACCTTGACGTCATTCTCTGAGAACCTCTTGCAAACAGTGCATGTTTTTTTTTTTAATTATTCAAGTTGAAATTTTCTGATGACTTGATTTTGTAAAATCTGCCATCAGTATTCTTTAAGCATGTTGAGTGGATAGAAAGCTCTGGGATACTTTCTTGGAATGGTTATGCTGAGTAGCTGTTGGTATGATTAACATCTTAAAGTCTTAAAGCAAATGTTATAAAAGCGAGAAATATTTAGTCTCTTTTTTGGCTGTTACACATGTGTGAGGTGTAGAGAAATACGCTTCATGCTGGAACTGTAGTTGTGTGCATGAGAGGCACTGGTTGTGACAAGATGTATCTGTCATGTCTGCAGCTGTCCACCAGGTGTCAGGACCTGATACCACGCGCCATCTTGTGTCTAACCAAAGTTGCTAAGCAACACTACAACAACGCAGTGGACCCTGAGGGCAGTGAGGCCCTAGTGAGCCGAGCCCATGAACTTATCAACTTGCTGAAACTGCCAAAGTGAGTGCCAGTGGTGACAATGGACTTTAGAAACACAATGACATCCATGGATAATGTCACTCTCATGCCCTGGTATTGTCGGTAGTATGTTGACAGGAATCTCTGACATTACATATATTTAAAACATATCATAATGTTCCAAATAATTATTCCATTTCTTCACCCATTGCCAAAGAAATAATCACTAGCTGAAACCCAGTGCAGAAGACTTTCAACACTAGCTTGAAATAGCAGAAGGAATTGCAAAGGGTTTTCATAATGTTAATGGTTCAACATAAGAAAATCATACTGCCACTCTTCATTAGTTATCAATGAAAAATGTACATCTCTGTCATAGCATTGTGACGTCATCAAGCTCATGATGTCATAGCATTGTCAGGGCATTGTACAAAATGTACTGTCTCCTACATGAGTCCTAGGAGATATCGTTGATGTCACACAAGCAATATCTCCTGTGGAACACAGTTTGGGATGATAAAAGAAAATCATACTGCCATTATTGTGATCCCTTTTCACGATTATGTGGTTGAAGCAAATAACACACAGGCAACAAGGCTGGAGCTTGAGCATACATTGTGACTTGGAGTACACAATGGGGCTACCGGATCAGTCGGACAGTATTAAGGGTTTTCATCCCAATTTTTCTCCTACACCCCATTAACAGCAGGGTAAATTTGTTGGAACATGATTTGATGTTGTCCACACAAATTTATCCCAAGATGCCCCAGTTACAAAAAGGCAACCCCTATACACAACGGGGTATGGCAGAAGGAACATCATGTGGAAACTCATAATTTATATGGATGATCCTGTACCCCATTGTCTATACTACTCTTGGTGATACTAACACTGGTAACTTGTGATTTATATGGATGATCCTGCACCCACTTGTCTATACTACTCTTGGTGATACTAACACTGGTAACTTGTGATTTATATGGATGATCCTGTACCCCATTGTCTATACTACTCTTGGTGATACTAACACTGGTAACTTGTGATTTATATGGATGATCCTGTACCCCACTTGTCTATACTACTCTTGGTGATACTAACACTGGTAACTTGTGATTTATATGGATGATCCTGTACCCCCATTGTCTATACTACTCTTGGTGATACTAACACTGGTAACTTGTGATTTATATGGATGATCCTGTACCCCACTTGTCTATACTACTCTTGGTGATACTAACACTGGTAACTTGTGATTTATATGGATGATCCTGTACCCCACTTGTCTATACTACTCTTGGTGATACTAACACTGGTAACTTGTGATTTATATGGATGATCCTGTACCCCACTTGTCTATACTACTCTTGGTGATACTAACACTGGTAACTTGTGATTTATATGGATGATCCTGTACCCCCATTGTCTATACTCTTGGTGATACTAACACTGGTAACTTGTGACTTTTATATGGATGATCCTGTACCCCACTTGTCTATACTACTCTTGGTGATACTAACACTTGTAACTTGTGATTTATATGGATGATCCTGTACCCCATTGTCTATACTACTCTTGGTGATACTAACACTGGTAACTTGTGATTTATATGGATGATCCTGTACCCCACTTGTCTATACTACTCTTGGTGATACTAACACTGGTAACTTGTGATTTATATGGATGATCCTGTACCCCACTTGTCTATACTACTCTTGGTGATACTAACACTGGTAACTTGTGATTTATATGGATGATCCTGTACCCCCATTGTCTATACTACTCTTGGTGATACTAACACTGGTAACTTGTGATTTATATAACACTGGTAACTTGTGATTTATATGGATGATCCTGTACCCCCATTGTCTATACTACTCTTGGTGATACTAACACTGGTAACTTGTGATTTATATGGATGATCCTGTACCCCATTGTCTATACTACTCTTGGTGATACTAACACTGGTAACTTGTGATTTATATGGATGATCCTGTACCCCATTGTCTATACTACTCTTGGTGATACTAACACTGGTAACTTGTGATTGATATGGATGATCCTGTACCCCATTGTCTATACTACTCTTGGTGATACTAACACTGGTAACTTGTGATTTATATGGATGATCCTGTACCCCATTGTCTATACTACTCTTGGTGATACTAACACTGGTAACTTGTGATTTATATGGATGATCCTGTACCCCCATTGTCTATACTACTCTTGGTGATACTAACACTGGTAACTTGTGATTTATATGGATGATCCTGTACCCCATTGTCTATACTACTCTTGGTGATACTAACACTGGTAACTTGTGATTTATATGGATGATCCTGTACCCCACTTGTCTATACTACTCTTGGTGATACTAACACTGGTAACTTGTGATTTATATGGATGATCCTGTACCCCACTTGTCTATACTACTCTTGGTGATACTAACACTGGTAACTTGTGATTTATATGGATGATCCTGTACCCCACTTGTCTATACTACTCTTGGTGATACTAACACTGGTAACTTGTGATTTATATGGATGATCCTGTACCCCATTGTCTATACTACTCTTGGTGATACTAACACTGGTAACTTGTGATTTATATGGATGATCCTGTACCCCATTGTCTATACTACTCTTGGTGATACTAACACTGGTAACTTGTGATTTATATGGATGATCCTGTACCCCCATTGTCTATACTACTCTTGGTGATACTAACACTGGTAACTTGTGATTTATATGGATGATCCTGTACCCCACTTGTCTATACTACTCTTGGTGATACTAACACTGGTAACTTGTGATTTATATGGATGATCCTGTACCCCATTGTCTATACTACTCTTTGGTGATACTAACACTGGTAACTTGTGATTTATATGGATGATCCTGTACCCCATTGTCTATACTACTCTTGGTGATACTAACACTGGTAACTTGTGATTTATATGGATGATCCTGTACCCCATTGTCTATACTACTCTTGGTGATACTAACACTGGTAACTTGTGATTTATATGGATGATCCTGTACCCCATTGTCTATACTACTCTTGGTGATACTAACACTGGTAACTTGTGATTTATATGGATGATCCTGTACCCCATTGTCTATACTACTCTTGGTGATACTAACACTGGTAACTTGTGATTTATATGGATGATCCTGTACCCCCATTGTCTATACTACTCTTGGTGATACTAACACTTGTGTAACACTGGTAACTTGTGATTTATATGGATGATCCTGTACCCCACTTGTCTATACTACTCTTGGTGATACTAACACTGGTAACTTGTGATTTATATGGATGATCCTGTACCCCACTTGTCTATACTACTCTTGGTGATACTAACACTGGTAACTTGTGATTTATATGGATGATCCTGTACCCCACTTGTCTATACTACTCTTGGTGATACTAACACTGGTAACTTGTGATTTATATGGATGATCCTGCACCCCACTTGTCTATACTACTCTTGGTGATACTAACACTGGTAACTTGTGATTTATATGGATGATCCTGTACCCCACTTGTCTATACTACTCTTGGTGATACTAACACTGGTAACTTGTGATTTATATGGATGATCCTGTACCCCACTTGTCTATACTACTCTTGGTGATACTAACACTGGTAACTTGTGATTTATATTGGTGATACTAACACTGGTAACTTGTGATTGTCTCACTGAACTTGTATGATTTGGCATTTCCAGTTTTGCGTCAGTGGTACTTAATCCTGCAGCAGACATCGACTCTGGAAGGTGAGTCATTTCTCACATCAATATCATGATAACTCCATGAGCATGGTGACTAGACAAAATGTATAGGAAATTACAGGTTCTAGTGAGTATGGTTTTATGCTGCTTTTAGCAATATTCCAGCAATATCACGGGGACACCAGAAATGGGCTTCACACATTGTACTCATGTGGGGAATTGAACCGGGTCTTCGGCACGACGAGCGAATGCTTTAACCACTAGGCTTCCAAACCACCTCTTCTGTTGATTGAACCAGTTTTTGTCTGTCAAATTTGGTGCAGTGAAATCTCATTTTAGTTGAACAGCCATTGTGACAATAGTGACCCAATCAAAACCATCACCACATACATGTGGTCATCCTCCTTGACAAGAGTATAACTCTCTTACCCTTCATGTTTGGTGTTTTTGCAGGTGGCATCGTGACAACACAGCTCTCCCCATCATCCTGAGAGGCACCTACAGACTGCTCTGTCCTGACTCCAAGTGATGATGAGCAGTAGAGATATCATGTTCTATTTACATTAACCTCTTGAAAAATACTAGACACTGTGTGATATCTGCAAAATAATTTGCTCTTTTAAACAAATGAGTGAATATAACATAAACTGGGCGAAACTTGGACCAAAGGGACCACAAGTCATGTCAAGGTTGAACAGATCATTCCAGATAGAGAGTAAATACATAGTGTATTCCTTCAAACTAGCCTCGCACACATTTATTTATTTAACACTTGTGACTGTAAAACAAAGTGCAATATATTTATTTTGTTACAAACAATTTTTCAAACTTGTTTCCTGTTCTTTGTGAATGACACACTTGTTTCTCCATGGGAATGGTAAGATAATTTCACACACGTTAGCTTGGCTGATGAAAAATCGATAAATAAAGACTAAATTCCACTTAAAGAAATGTTAGTGATCAATTTTGGCTTATAATAAAAAATGTTAGTACTAAGTGGGTTTTGACATATGTTTGAAATGCTTAAACATGGGCTTACAGCTGAAAAATGACAATGACAAACCGTTGCCCAAATCAAAAGACACTTGAACTTGGAGAGATGCAGTCCATCTCTGCCCAGATCTCACCAGGAAAAGGGTTTTCATACTAAAATGCATACATTTTACTTGAGTATTTCAAACAGTCCTGAAGAAAAACATTCAGCAAAATGTCAAGAGTCAACAACAGCTGTATCCCGATTGAGATCCCACCCTGCGGCCATAAATTATGAATGGTCCCTAGGTGTCTCAGTGGATCTGATAGTTTAAAAGACAAAGAGTTGAAACTTGTATGATAATTTATTTTCATTGTATGCACATTTATACAAATGTAACCTGTATGTACACCATTTACATTGCATTTTCCCACACAAACATTACCAGCAGTTGACAGACAGGTGGCTAAGAAAGGGTTAATACATGTGTCATACAAAGTGTAAACATGGGGACTGACATGGCTGTGACAGAGCCATCTGCATCTCCCCACATCCTAAAGTATAGCAATAATGTAGCCAGGCATACTCCTATGTGTCAAGAACACTACATTGTAAAGGTTCTGCAATCAAATAGTTTCTATAAAAATCAGGCCAAAAAGCATGTACATCTTCAATTTGAGCAGCAAGGACAAAAATGCTTTGTGATAAAATAGCAGAAAATAGAATGACAAATTCCTTCTATGCAGAATGCTGTAAAACACACATGGATGACATTCAGAAAATGGACACTATAGCACAGCTATATTTTCCTTCAGTTCTTCATAATGTCTGTTCACCAAAGTATGTTTTGCGCTTTCAACCTGGCAGTGAGTGAGTATGGTTTTAAGACGCTTTTAGCAATATTACAGCAGGGGACACAAGAAATGGGCTTCACACATTGTACCCATGTGGGGAATCGAACCCTGGTCTTCAGCTTAATGAACGAATACTTTAACCACTTGGCTACCCCACCGCCCCTTTAACCTGGCAGGTCCAGCAGGGTGTAGCCTGGTGTTTAACACTGTAGGGTAGGCATGTACATGGAGCATGCAGACAGGCAGCAGCTAGAACAACTCTAACAAGCACAAGGACAGCACTGGTACACACACCATTTCTTTCATCATAGTAGAGCTCTGACAGGTAGAAACATATTGTCTCAAACCCTGACTCAAGTACCCGTCAGTGACCTACATCACAGTCATGATGCCTTTAAAATTAACGTGATAGTTAAACTTTCGCAATAGAATTCACAAGACATATATATTAGGTTTAACCTTTCCTTTGTTTGGAATGATTATGGTAGCACTATGAATTTAATCTTAATCATCACCTATGAAATTGTTGCTTTTACTGATGGGCTGCATTTCAGTGTTTGACAATTTTAATACATGCCCCATCCCTCCCAGCTCTTGGAGTATGTACAAGGAACCAATACATAACCTAATGTTACACTTAGTACTTAGATATGGCAGAAGACCCAAATTTGTAACATCTGAAGACAGTTCCATCGAGAAGTTAACCTCTATTTAGTATTTGGTTACAAAATTATGAAAATGGCTTGTCGGAAGGCACAAACGACGTCTACAGCTTTTGGAAACCTATCAGCATGGTTAGGGTGAGGCCAGAACAAAGATCTGAATCGGGATGCATCTGGGATTCAAAGTAATATACATGGAAGAAGGGCAGTACCCACTGATCTGAATCATCAAAAGTATTAACCAATAAGTTGATTCCTTGTTCTCAAACTACTTGTGCCGACTAGCCCCAACTAAACAGACTATTACTTCCTTCAAAGACCTCTTGACAATAGGACCGAAATTGTCTTCATGTTTAATCACTGTCTGATCTGTGCGGACACGCTATGCCCATAATTAAATGCACCAGTCTGTTTGAAAAGGCTATTCCCAATTTAAGTTTTCTTCTCAGAACAGACGTGATCATGTGTTACATCAAGGTCAAGATGCTTTGGTTTATTGTACATAAGGCCTCTGGCCCGTATACATAGTGTCATAATCACAGGCAAGTATGAACAGTGCAAATAGTGGAAAGCATCATAACATTGTGAAATTAGCTGACAGGAGAAATCTGTTCCTTAATGACAGTGAATGTGTTAAAAACAGGGCTAATTTTACATTGACAGATTCGTCTTCTGATGATAAAATTCTTATAAGTGTTTCCCTTGTGGAATATACTTTCTTAAATTGGCATAAGTATCACATATAAATAATATATATAATAAAAATTAATGTCATAAGATACAAATCTTCCACTGCAGTGTGATACTCTCTGTGTAAATATCTGACCAACAGTCCATAGCGACCATCTAAGAAGCGAGATCCATGGATTTTTAATCCAATGTCATTTTTTTAAATAGCAAACCAGCTTCATTTCTATTCCACATCAATTCAGAAATGTTGATCTTAGCAAAAGAAAATGCACACCAAATGACCACAAAATGCTCTTGACAGTAAATTGTCTATACACTCTTTTCTGAATTTAGAAACTTCATTTATGACACAATATAGAGGGCATTATATCACATTATATTGGACTTAATAAATAACAATAATATTTTTCAAGCTTGTACACATTTTTCATAATGATTCCTCATTCACACCATTTATAAGCTGGACATGAAGAGCAATGATATAATGCCTAAATGCAAGAGTATGCTCAACACTGTAGAGAATGAAAGCTAAAGCTGTGGGTGATACATGGTGCTGTCAGATCTAATTGATGACTAGTGGATAAAGCCATGTAATAACACTATGTGACACATATATAGATTACATATACTGTTAGATGGTTATCCATGAAGGATAATTTCCAAGTAAGTAACTGTTATAATGGTGGGATGTTCTCATGATCATTTCAGCAGAGGTATGACAAGGATCTTGTTTCACAAAGCAATGCTAATGCCAAGGTTGATTCAAGAATCACATGGTGTAGTTTATGTTATGTTTGTTGAAGGAAGTATACCTTCCATTTTACAGCTAAATATTCACAACTGGCTATATACAGACGATCCCTACACTGGGACTGATCACATTAAATGAGCAAAAAAAAGCATTTGGATTGATCCTTCATGTTTCAAGGCTATGATGAAGCTGTTTCCGAGACGATGTGTGATGCTCCCCTATTGGACTGATGAAGGAGAGAATGAGGGAGTTTTGTTCTTTACCACTGTCAGCAATATGTTACATATTGTATTCATCTGGGGAACTGAACCCAGGTACTCAGCGTGACAAGTAAACACCTAACCACCTGCTTATCCCCCGATTATAGCATTATAATACAGAATTTGGCACTCAATTTTTCAATAGCAGAGATGCCAACCCTGAATCCAATGAGAGCAGTCATGCCTGGCTGGAAGTCAGGCCCAAGCACAGAAGCTGCCAGTTGGGGGTGAACACGTGGTCGGCTCTGCCATTTTGTTTACATACGGGCTATGACATATACTTGGAAAAACTTTGTGAAACTTAGTCGTCAATAACAAGCAATATACACAATCGAGATCCAAAAGATCACATGCTACGTTTCCGAATGCTTTAAACGGTGTCGACTCAAATAAATCACCGTTGACTTATGAAATTGTATACTGTAAAAATCAATTTCAGAATTGTTTCTTAAAAAATCAGTTTTTTAAAGACAAATCAGAGAGCAGATTTTGTATTCGGAGAATCGGAGTAACACCGTCAAAATCAGAGTGGTTGGCATGTCTGCAATAGATATATGAAAAAGAGTTGACCAAACGAATAAAACATTAGCCTTCCTGTAGCAACCTACAGCAAACTGTAGGGGAGCCAATACAATGTGATGCCCTTGAAACTGGTTACAAACGATGACAAGGTGACTCAGTGAGAGTGTTGCTATGAAAGCGGATGAAGCTGTACTATATTATGAGAGTATAGCCAATATGGACACCTTGCATCTTACACTGACCTCTACTGTGGAAATACTTTGAAAAATACTGAAAATGATCAATATATTGCAAAACGGAACATTAGATTAACCAAGACATGAAGATTAAGTTGCATATACTGACAAAAGTGTACCAACCACACACACCAATTAGTCTCTTGCTAACTGCAATTGTCTGCCCATTTTTAGAAACATTAACATCAAGTAGGTGAGAGTTAACAATCCAACAGAAATATTTTCCTTCTGTGCCCCAACACCAAGTATTTACAACTTACAAAGTGTGACTACTTGGGTACCACAACAAATAACACCTTGAAAACAACGGTCGGAAATAGATTCAATCAAAAACAAATATTTACCAATATATGCAGGAGTATAATGTGACGACCATCATCAACACCAAAACAGCAACATGCATAAGTTTCAAGTATATTTTAGTATAAAATAGTCACCTCTGTGATATAACTCGATGATTGTGATAAGCACATGGATGAAAAGTGAATGGGGTTTTGCCTCACAGTGATGCCAGCATGATATACATATTAGCACTTCCATATTGACACTGTAGGATTAATTAATTGCAGCATAGACAAGGATAGTATCACAAGAGTTGACTCCCCAGCCCAAAGTTCAGAAACAGTCTCGCTTCAGATTCAGAATATCTTGGTATACCTTTTGAGACTTAAGTGAAACCACCAAACTATAAATAGAATAAAATCTTTGATTTCCTGAACTTGGGGCAGGTGGAGGAAGGTTTTATGCCATATTTACTAACATTGCATCAGCATAATGTCTGCAGACAGAGCCCAGTCTTCAACTGTTGTATGTAGGGGTCAGCACTCTGAACATCAGTGTGATCACTGATCCAACAACTAATGTGTGGAGCCTAGCACAACATACTCTGACCATAACATTCTGCAGGTCCCAACAAGGAACCCTGTTTGTTGGTCTATAACTCTGCTTCACATCACTAAATCTATACTACTGAATATCAACTCAATCCCATGTGTGTGTTGCATCAATTACATGTATCAGGTAATCCTTTATCATGTCCATATTTAGCATTTGAAGTGTCTGTAAAATCAGTTTATATTACACTTGCATTTGCTGAGTACTATCCATAGAAGCTTTATGAAGGTAACGTGTATCATGTGAGATACACATCAACGGCAATGGTATTAGTGTACTAACGTTGTCCAGTCTCTGGGTAGTATGCTGAGTACAAAGTCTGTCCTCAAGAAGTCTTCATGGTTCTTTTGTCAGCCATTCCTTTCCACATACCAACCATCTCCACACGCACATCTGTTGAGAAGTTACCCACATGGTTCTGTTCCGAAAGACTCCTCACATCCTTGGACCAACAGACACCTGATGTCCACAGCACTTTCCACATATCTTTGTTCTGTGCCTTGATAACAAGATTAACAACATCCTACGAGGTGCTCACAGACTGGGAATTGTATCTATGTCACCTGTATCTGTCACATTGTTCTCATTTAAACTATATGTCACCTTGTACTTTAACCGGATCTTTTCCTGGAACAGAGACATAAAGATGCTTTAGTATCACATATAGCCTTGTCAGAGACGTATCACCTTAACACAGTAGTTTGTGATAAAAACCTATGAGACTTACAGCTGAACGAAACAACACTAACAGATGGGCAAGCTTGAACATGACATATATTTTAAAGGAATATTTGTTTTGAAATATGCCTAATTCTATATAATATTTGCAGCAAGCTGAGTGAGACACCACTTTTTAAAACCCAGGGACTAGACTTTCGAAGCTCTCTTAGTGCTAAGATAGTCGTAAGTTAATGTTAATGTATGGCACTTACGACTATCTTAGCGCTAAGAGAGCTTCGAAAATCTAGGCTCTGCAGTTCACCTTTTCCAGTTCCCTCATGCTCATGTTAACTTAGGACATTGGAGGACATCATGAATATGTGACGGGTCATTCTGTCTGACATTCCCTGCAGCATGCTATAATCCCTTCTGCCCAACCCTAACTGAAATGCTACACCCCTATAAAGGGAGGCAAGTCAACATTTTCCACAGGTTCTGAATCGTTCATATCACCAAAGTTCTTTTTTCAATTTACATGGAGTTGTGTTCCTATTAAAATTAAATAGCTTCAGAGTGTAAGCATTAGTCTTATTATTTTGTTCTAAATGTTTTGTTACTGATTATTAACAACTTTTCAACCAAATATTGGAAAATACATATAATAGTCAGTCAATGTTGAAGAAAATGAACTGATCTCAAACATAGTACACAGCTACAGAATTGCTGCTGAGCTATTGTGTCCTATATTCTGTGGTGTTTGAGATCTCATGGAGACATCCAGATTCTCTTATTGACTGTCATAAGGTATGATGACACGATAAGTCAGAAAGCATGTTTGTCATGATGTTATTCAATCAGGAGGTGCCGGGGATGGTATGCCCGGAACTCACAACTGTTCATAGCTTATGGTTTACACTTGATGAAAGATGTTTCTAAAACCTTACCCTTTTTGGGTTTGCTATAAGCATAACTTGTGTGATGGCTGCAGGGGGTAGGATGGGGTTGTATGCTGGGAGGTCCGAGGCTGAGGGGGGCTGCAGCTTCACCTTCATCACCTGGGGACAGAACAGTGCATGGAAATAGCATCACTGACAGTGCACAAAAATAACATCACTAACATCAACTTCATCGCCATACATGGAAATACCATCTCTGACAGTCCACGAAAATAACGTCACTAACATCAACTTCATCGCCATACATGAACTACTACTGTACTACCAGATATGACTTCCCTTACTTTTGGCACAGCTGCCTGGAAAACAAACTTCTTGATTGGACTTGTGTTGGTGGACAGTGTTGAGAGGACCATGACAAGTACATCTGGCCGAGGCTTGTCTGTTGCCAGATGGATGACGGTCTTGACACTGTTCTTGTCATAGGCTGTCACAGGGGCCATGTCTGTGGCTGCAGATAACGTTGGACAGAGCTACATGAGACATTGTCTACATCATTCCCTAGTAACTGATCTGATTTGTTCTTCCAATGTTTTGCTACAGTTTGAGTGTTACCAAGCGACACTTTTATATCATTGCGCTTGGAATATTTCTGTGTTAAATCAACAAGTTCATAGAGCATAGTGGAAGTCGCAGTGGCTGAGCGGGTTAGGCGGCTGACTTTGTCTGCTGGCGATTAGGTGCCTGACTCTGAGGGTATTGGTACGAATCCCGCATGGGACTCAACCCAAAAAAGTACTTTCTAAATGGCATTGTGTAATCATTCATAGATCACATTCCAAAATCAGAAATCAAAGACTGATGCAACATCAATGTTGTCCAGATATGACGTTTAACAAACATAACATGAGTTAAAGGTATCCTACAGATTCATTAAGTCAACAAACCGTAGCAAAAAAGTTCATGTGGCACAGTCTATGATTAGCAGAACAGGTTAAATGTTTTAATCGACCCAGCTGAGGATGCCCCAGATTCACAAAAACCTTCAAGGCTTGTCTCATTAGTGCTATGAAACTAAGGACCAACAGCTGATGTAATCACCCTCCATCTACACAGGTAAACTACTGCTGGAGCTTCCAAACAGACAGGTATGGCAGTGGATCGGTGATGGTAAAATGTGGGATTTTCATCATAGACAAAATGTACATTGTCCTCCAGCTTGCAGCAGTACATCACCACAGTAACCAACACTGAACCCCAGTTCTACACCTATTGTACAGATGCAGGGCATCATCTGTCAAAGTTTACATTGCCATCCACAACCACCCTGACAACTGGATGGTTGATTGGGAACATGCCATGTCAAATACCTGAATCCATGTTGCCCTGTGCTAATCTATAACTGTGATAACCTATTACTTATAGGCAGTACTTGTATAGTGCATACTTCAGATGTCACCCAAACTGTCATTACTTACAATAAACACACCTGCTCATTTATCAGATCTGTTGTCATTTCTAATATTATACAATGGTTTATTTTGCTTTGATCATGGCTATCTCACCTGGTTTAATATTTTCTAGGGGAATGAAGATGTCTGTCAGGGGAAGTAACTCTTGTGATGCAACATTCCCAGGAAGTATGGGATTGACTATTGCTGTAGACTGTGAAGATGAATTCTGATTGGCTAATGTCAGTAACGTAGGCTGTGTGCCTGGTGCTGATTGGCTTGCCTGGTTGGCGGACACCGCAGCAAGCTGATTCATGGTCATCTTCTTTGGTGTTGTTCTGAAAGATGGAGGACTTCAATGATAACAGTGTATGAGACAGAATGTTAACTACTCTCTTAACCACAGAGATAGTGAGAGAGAAAGAAAATATATTTGCATGATTTTTTATTCACTGTGAGGTGCTTCCTTCAGCCTGAGAGAGCAAGAAAGACACACAGAGAGAGAGACACTTACTGTTGTGGAGGGAAGTGATTGCGCTGCTCCTTGCCACCGAGGCTTTGTTGAAGAAGATTCTGACCCAGGAGGTCAAGGTCAGCCATGGCTGTCACTGGTACCTTCTGTGATGACACGCCAGGTGAAGCACTTGAGGCCTGAACTCCTGCTGGTATCAACAGTCATGTGTTCTGGTAAATATGCTTTAATACCCATCAGTATTTACACTCAACAGGAGAAAAAGACATTTCATATTGTTACGTGTCATTGTTTATTTATCTGTAGAAATTACCAGTGGCATCAAATGGTTAAAGCGCTAGTAAAATGTCAAGAACACAGATTGTAACAAAAATTGAGTTATCTCCCTTGCTTGTAGGAAACCTGAGGCGAGTTCAGAACCGCGAGCGCCCGCGAACGCTAGAGCGAGAGCTCGATCCTGAACGCCTGTGCCCGTTCGAGCGCCCGCGAACCATTCTCACAGCTGCCTCGCCAAGCGAACTAAGATGGCGATCATGTTTAATGTCATTCGTCACCACTCGCCCCTTTCCGTTACCTCCAAAAAGAAGGCATGGAGGGTATTTTATTAATGTTGTCAGATTACATGTATATTTCATCGAGTGGTCTGACAAAGTTGATATGTTCATGAGTGGCGTAACGATTGACAACATCAACAAAATATATTCTATTTAATATATTTTGATCATTGTTTATAAATGATCGAGACATCTTTTCGTAGTTCGCATTTAAGTAGTTCCAGGCAACAGTGATATATTCTACTCAGTGAAAATGCTAAAAAAATACCACTCAGTCAGTCAGTCAGTGAAAATGAAAATACCATTTTTTCTTTTCACCAATATTTACAGTATTTCACCCTTAAGAATATAATAAAAGAAGCTACTCGGCTTGTCCCGGAACAACACGAGTTGGTCACAAATGGTTTATTGTAACCAAGCGCTCGCGTCCGTTCAGGGCCGATGCGCGAGCGCTCGCGGTTCTGAACACGCCTCAGGACAAACTGGAATGTTCAGTAGTTTTGGTGGGTGAGTTTCTAGAAGGCTGGCTGTGCCAATATATGTAAGAGCAACACAAATGCAATTTGTAGCCTATTTGAAAACACCAAATTCCTGGCAGCTTCCCAGACAGAGACAGGCCTGTTTCAAGACATTTGAACATGAATGATGGACATTTGTGAATGCACTGACATATATGGTATGGCCTTTCACCTACTGACCCACTGTACTGCCTTTAAACATTCAATAAAGATTCCTAAAATGAAAACAATGTGTCTGGATAAAAAGTGTTGATTATTCATTAATCTTGTGTGGTTACTTACAGCCTTTAAGTTCTGTTTCAATCCTACTACAATTTACTGTCAGGTTTTGTATGGCACCTTGTACTACTGGTGCTACATTGGGCAATCTTACTACAATTTACTGTCAGGTTTTGTATGGCACCTTGTGCTACTGGTGCTACATTGGACAATCTTACTACAATTTACTGTCAGGTTTTGTATGGCACCTTGTACTACTGGTGCTACATTGGACAATCTTACTACAATTTACTGTCAGGTTTTGTATGGCACCTTGTGCTACTGGTACTACATTGGACAATCTTACTACAATTTACTGTCAGGTTTTGTATGGCACCTTGTACTACTGGTGCTACATTGGACAATCTTACTACAATTTACTGTCAGGTTTTGTATGGCACCTTGTACTACTGGTGCTACATTGGACAATCTTACTACAATTTACTGTCAGGTTTTGTATGGCACCTTGTACTACTGGTGCTACATTGGACAATCTTACTACAATTTACTGTCAGGTTTTGTATGGCACCTTGTACTACTGGTGCTACATTGGACAATCTTACTACAATTTACTGTCAGGTTTTGTATGGCACCTTGTACTACTGGTGCTACATTGGACAATCTTACTACAATTTACTGTCAGGTTTTGTATGGCACCTTGTGCTACTGGTGCTACATTGGACAATCTTACTACAATTTACTGTCAGGTTTTGTATGGCACCTTGTACTACTGGTGCTACATTGGACAATCTTACTACAATTTACTGTCAAGTTTTGTATGGCACCTTGTACTACTGATGCTACATTGGGCAATCTTACTACAATTTACTGTCAGGTTTTGTATGGCACCTTGTACTACTGATGCTACATTGGGCAATCTTACTACAATTTACTGTCAGGTTTTGTATGGCACCTTGTGCTACTGGTGCTACATTGTACAATCTTACTACAATTTACTGTCAAGTTTTGTATGGCACCTTGTACTACTGGTGCTACATTGGACAATCTTACTACAATTTACTGTCAAGTTTTGTATGGCACCTTGTACTACTGGTGCTACATTGGACAATCTTACTACAATTTACTGTCAGGTTTTGTATGGCACCTTGTGCTACTGGTGCTACATTGGACAATCTTACTACAATTTACTGTCAGGTTTTGTATGGCACCTTGTGCTACTGGCGCTACAGGCTGCTGCAGTTGCCCAAATGGTGACACTCCAGGCTGCTGGCCCATTGCTGGCATCATGACGGGGAATGTCGCCGCTGCTCCCATGACTGGCGCCGTGCCGGAGGCAAACATGGCCCCTGTAGGCATGGCTTGTGATACAGCTGGCTGTGGGGGTTGGGAAACTGACTGGAAAAGGGTTGTAAATATTTGTAGGACGTGTTTGTCAACTTTGCTGTCAACATCTTCTTCTTTTCCTGCTGTATGATCTGTTACATTTAGGCAAAGATGTCTCTTGATAAAACAGCTGATCAGGAGAAAGTAGATGATTACTGGCTGATAAACTGATCATATGGAAACAAGTTTTTTATTCAGATTATGAATCAATATATTTTGGTAATTTGTTTGAGAACACTCAAGAACTTTCCAAGGCACATAAGCCTTTTCTAGTCCTTTGAGAAAGAAACCATATTCAAAAACATTTCAATTAGAGCCAGAAAAACATATTCTGGGCATTGACAGTCTGTGTGAAGCCTGCAGGAAGTACCTGTTGGGCAGCAGCTCCAAATATATCATCTAGTTCACTGAGGACTGAGCTGTCAGACGCCTGGGTCCCGGACAACTTCTTGTCATCCAGACCTGTTGGAAGGTGGGAGGCACATGTTACATTATAGGCAGTGTACTACTCCATGGCTTATATCACCTGTTTTGTTTCAACACAAGAAAACATCACAACAAAGTCACTTAATATGATTAAAAGGAGGATCTTATATACAGATCAATAAATGATACAAATGTTTCTTTTCCCTTATGGGGGTGGTTGGGTAGCTCAGTGGTCAAAGTGTTCACTTGTCACGCCGAAGACCTGGGTTCGATTCCCCACATGGGTACAATGTGTAAAGCCCATTTCTGGTGTCCCCTGCCATGATATTGTTGGAATATTGCTAAAAGTGGCGTAAAACCATACTCACTCCCTCTTTCTCCTTATGGTATGAAACAAAGAGAAAGCAGGAAACCCCTTGTCAGAAAGTAACCTGGATATATAATAAGCAGCAACAGGCAATGTCCGCCACCACATGATTAACATAAGAAAGCAGGAGGTCTAAGGAACGACTCAGTAACAATGCAGTTTAACTGTCATAATGCATAACAAAAACATCCAACTTTCCCTATTCTTTATAATCTCCTAGATAAACTACCTAATGCTTGGAACTCGCCCTCCAAGATGGCTGTTGAGGTGGAGGTTGCTGATTGGTCAGGTCTAGCAGCTCTGCTAGGCGAAGATTCAAAGTTGAGATCCAGTAACGAGGAGGCATCTGTGAGGAGGAGTATAGATGGGGATCACTATTAAGGAGCCATATCTTGAGGGTGCTTAGGGGTCACTTTCACAGCACCAGAGTTGACAGTAATTAAGCATACATTGCAATTATAAGCATGGTAAGCAGTTACAGGAAGGACACAGGACTGTTTCAACAGTTAGGACTGTGGCAGAGTGCTGTGCTATTCAACAGTCAGACCATAGGAAAATGTTATTTAACAGTTACAGCTATGACAGTGCTGTGCTTATTAACAATTAGGACTGAGGATGATGCTATTCAACAATTACGACTATGATAGAATGCTGTGCTATTCCAAAGTTGTGACTGTGACTGGGCTATATCTATCTAGTGGGTGGATCTGACTTACAATCTGCAGAGTTAACTTGGCAAAATCCGTGCAATAAATAAACAAAACTGAACTGCTAAAAGGTAATTCTAATCCACCACCTGGATAAAACAAAAATGTAATTTTTTGAGTAAAATTGATATTTTATACTTATCCTGACTCATGCTCTTTTGCTTGTCTCCTTCCTCTTGCAAACATAGTGGAACACTTGTATCTCCCTAATTGAAGTTCCCTTCAATGTAAAATCACTAATTAGTACACCACGAGTTACCTCCCTTCCACAAGCGCAGGAACGAGGGCGCCACCTCCACCCATGTGCCTCACTCTCTCCTCATATACTGAGCCCAACATTTGAATTTACAGGGAAATCCAAAGTGTTATTTGGGGAGGATGGGAGGGCTGACCTCATGAGTCAGGATAAGTATAAAATATCAATTTTACTCAAAAAATTACATATTTTTCCTTATCCTGACTCATGCTCTTTTGCTTGTAGAATCCCTACGGATTGGAGGTGGGAATATATAATACTTTGGATTTTAATAATTAGTGATTTGAACTGTGATGATTGTAATAACCCTATGGGAACTTCATAAAGGCACTGAACTGATGAATTCCTGCTGCTAACTTATCAGCTGCCATATAAAGGTTATTACAATGTACTTATTATGATAAAGTATATATAACATTAATACAATGCTTAAGACTAATAGACTTAAGCTTGTTAATATGCTAGTATAAACTCCTTAGAGTTTGTTAGCTAAATTACTTTAAAATATAAACATAGTACTAAGCTTAAGATATGATTAAACTTAAGCTAATTATATAATAGCAAAACTCTTTTAGAGTTTGTTAGTTAATGTACTTATATGATATAGACATAGTGCTGAGCTTAAGATATGAATAAGCTTTAGCTACCTATATAATAGCAAAACTCTGTAGAGTTTGTTAGCTAATATATTTTTACAATATGAGTATAGTACTGTGCTTAAGATATAATTAACTTAAGCTACATATATAATAGCCAAAACTCTGTAGAGTTTATTAGCTTATAGATTAATAATGTAACCATAGTACTAAGCTTAAGATAAGATTAGACTTAAGCTAAATGTATATAGCAAAAAAAAAAAACTCCTTAGAGTTTATTAACTAATATACTTTTATGTTATAACCATAGTACTGAGCTTAAGATATAATTAAACTTAAGCTATATATATAATAGCAAAACTCCGTGAGAGTTTTGTTAGCTAATACATTTTATAATGTAACCATACTGCTTAAGATATGATGAAACTTAAGCTAATTGTATAATAGCAAAAACCCTTTAGAGTTTGTTAGCTAACATACTTATATGATATAAACCTAGTATTGAGTTTATGAAGGAAACCTTAAGCTACATATATAATAGCAAAAACTCCGTAGAGTTTGTTAGCTAATATACTTATATGATATAAACATAGTATTGAGCTTTGAAGGAAACCTTAAGCTACATATATAATAGCAAAACTCCGTGAGAGTTTGTTAGCTAATATACTTATATGATATAAACATAGTATTGAGCTTAAGATTTGAAGGAAAACTTAAGCTACATATATAATAGCAAAAACTCCGTAGAGTTTGTTAGCTAATACAAGTTATAATGTAACCATAAAGCTTAAATTATGATGAAACTTAAGCCAAATATATACTAGCAAAAAACTCTTTGAGTTTTGATAGCTAATATACCTATATGATATAAACATAGTACTGCGTTTAAGATATGAATAAGCTTAAGTTACATATATAATAGCAAAAAACTCCGTAGAGTTTGTTAGCTAATACATGTTATAATGTAACCATATTGCTTAAGATATGATGAGACTTAAGCCAAATAGCAAAAACTCTTTAGAGTTTGTTAGCTAATATACTTATATGATATAAACATAGTACTGAGCTTAAGATATGAATAAGCTTTAGCTACCTATATAATAGCAAAACTCTGTAGAGTTTGTTAGCTAATATATTTTTACAATATGAGTATAGTACTGTGCTTAAGATATAATTAACTTAAGCTACATATATAATAGCCAAAACTCTGTAGAGTTTATTAGCTTATAGATTAATAATGTAACCATAGTACTAAGCTTAAGATAAGATTAGACTTAAGCTAAATGTATATAGCAAAAAAACTCCTTAGAGTTTATTAACTAATATACTTTTATGTTATAACCATAGTACTGAGCTTAAGATATAATTAAACTTAAGCTATATATATAATAGCAAAACTCCGTAGAGTTTTGTTAGCTTATATATTTTTACAATCTGAGTATAGTACTATGCTTAAGATATAATTAAGTTAAGGTAAATATATAATAACCAACTCTGTAGAGTTGTTAACTTATATATTGTATGATGTAATAATCATAGTACTGTGATGATAAAAAGAACTTAAGCAAATTATATATAGCATGTAGCTATTTAGTACTGTTATAAGATAAGTAGAAATCTGTAAGATTGACTTATCTTCTCCGAGGAACTGTCAACTGTTGTGCGAGGACCATGGGATCGAATTGGTGGATACCTGAGACGTCCTCGGTGATGATATCTCTCAGAAAATGGTTGGCAACCACCATATCGGATCTCCAGAAAATAAACCCTCCATTATTTCAAATAACATTGTGTAGATCAATTGTAGAAGTTAGCGCTCTAATATCATGAGTATTAAAAGCTCATGGAGGGTCGGATTGGGTCCATCCGTCTTGTATGCACGTAGTATGACAGTTCTGATCCAAACGGAGATATAGTACGTGAGATTTCATTCTGCGTAAGTTGATGATAGAGGAAATAATCTGTTGCATTATTCCCTTCTGTTTGGTTCGGTGGAGATAAATTTACAGTGCTCTTGCTGGCCATCGTGATAGAATCATCGTATCATGAAGTCCAAGTATGTCATCCAGGCGTGTTCATAAACCTCACTTGTGAGGTGTTGGAGCACTATATTCAGATCCCCAAGTTGGAGGGTGAAACTTCCGTTTTAATTCTCCAATCAGAAAGTTTAAGTAGGTTTACTAACCATCTAGTTGTTTTAGTAGCTTGATTATGAAATTCAGCTGTAGTCTGAGACGCTGTGGATTTAGATCCACTTGTATCCCGTCGTCTAGGTTATTAAGCTGCGAGTAAGTCCTTGACGATGTAGGTGCACAACCAGGTGTGTCTGTCCTCGTTGAACTTTATGTAAAATTGCCTGACTGCCGTGCCCTCGGCCCTAACTTGACAGGGGAGGTCTCTAACCTGAAGAAAACAGTCCAATCATGAAGGTTCAGATTAACTGGACTGTAAGGAGGCTTGCTGCTCGTTCACTGATATATAGTTGTCACTTGTAGCGTAAGTCTTGAACTGTGAACTAAGATCGACCTCTCGTGGAGGTCGTTGTCCAACGCGGTCCAATCAGAACAAGGCATTTTGATTCTGTAGAATACCCGCGCTGTGATGTCACGGTGTAGCAGGAAAAACCTTGTATAAAATCTTGCCGTCGTTGATATTAGCATAATCGTCGGTCTTCACCGTAGCTTCCGAAGTTACCCGAGTGACCACGTGTTTCGAGGGTTAAAGAGGTAACGCTTGAAACCTCCGGTAGCGAAATACCTCGCTCTGTAATATTAATGCTGGGTAGGTTATTTTCCTGGCTGTCGTGAAAGTAACTTCAGTTTTGAATATAATTCCGACTTCCTTATATAAAGGTACAATAAACTTGCAAGTTGTCAGCTTGTAGACTGTATACATGAATGTATCGTCATAATTGTAGAATTAAAGCTGAACTTGTTGTACATATTTCTTCTCAGAAACTTTGACGATTATGAGTTATACTCGCTGTAACAAGGCTGCTGTTCAATTTCGATATTGAATTGTCTGCAGATCTGCGTAATGGTCACGCATGTAGATAATCGTATCGTAGTCCGGGATTGCATATTCTAGCAATCTATACGGAAAGGTTGATTTCTGTGAAGATCTATGAAACGTCGTTGACTAATTAATATAGCGACGTTCTGTGTTGTAAATAGCCTGTGCAATTGTCTTCGCGTAGGCTTATAGACGGCATATGGCATACAGTTGATAGACAACTTATGCGATGTCTTGAACGGACTGACGAGTAGCTATATATGACGAGTGGCTAATATATGGAGACCTTGGAGGAGATTTCCTCGGTGGACGCCGGAGACTTCGCGAAGCTCTCGAAGTATCCATTCTAGATTTTCTGTGTGAGGTAGACTTGGAGCCACTTAGCCTTCGCGACCTTCGCGAAGGTATCGAGTCAGAGCCCGATCAGTATATATAATATATGAGGGCTTGCTTCGCGAACGACCTCTGTGTTCAACAGGAGTGAGTGAGTGAGTGTTTTGTTTTACGCCGCACTCAGCAATATGTGGGGTCGGTAAAGCGCTACTCCTCCGTGACGTCCCTTGTAACTGGTGAGGCTCTAGTTCCTTCGCGGAGGTGGCCTGGGACTTCCTTAGCGAAGTGTCTAGAATCCGATCAATATATGAGCGTTAGCTTCATACAGGGTGTGGTTCTTGCTGGTTCTGCATAAGTAGAGCCGAGTAGATCATCCTATCATCTTCAGAAGTCGTGTCACGAAATCTGGTGATAAGAATCTCATTGATCGTTCTAGATCTATTAAGGCCAAGAACATACGCCTCTGGCGTTTGAACTGTTATGGCTTTATGGTAGGCTGTGTCCACATACTGTGGCACCGCAGCAATCGAGTCGATCGGAGGTAAGGTGATGGCGTCTGCCTCGTCTTCCTTTATCAGGTATGTCTGCGCCGAGTTGCCACTCTTGGAAGGTGAAGAGAGATCTAGGTTGTTTACCATCCAATATCGTATCTCAGCGTCTGAGAAAATGATGCCTCCATCATTTTCTATCCCAGCATCGCTGATGAGAGGTTGATGCTCTTCTGATGGTGGACTGTGTATTTCTATCTCTATGTCGGGTGACGCTCGGGGAGACCTGACTGTAGACTTGTGTGCAGACTTGTGTGGTGACCTGTGAGGCGATCGACGTGGTGATGTACGAGGAGATCGGCGCGGTGAACGGCGGAGATCGTGTTGGTGATCTGCGTCTATGGGTTGACCTTCTCGGAGACCTGTGAGGAGAATGTTGATAGCTTCGCGAAGCTCTTGTGTAGTCAGGTGTCCTTGGCGAAGGCCTTCGCGAAGCTTCCTCTGCGTCCGGTCCTGGGGAACGGCGATTTGACCTTCGCGAAGGCTTCCGTGAGGTCTGATGGTCTGAGTCCGCATCTAAGGATGAAGCCAAGGAAGGTGATGATCTATCCCGCCTTCGCGAAGGCCTCGAAGGCTGTACATCTGGGTCCTTCGTCGAGGTGGTCTGCGACTTCCTTCGCGAAGGTGGCTTCGTCGTGGCTGCTACGCTGATGGGGGTGCCTCTGGGGTGTCGTCTGCGTTGGAACCTTCGCAAAGGCTCAGGCCTTGGGCTGGCTGCTTCTCCAGTCTGTAGTGGCCCTCCATCATGATCATGATTTGCCGCAACAGTTCATCTGGGATGGTCTGCGACGAATTAGTCGGTGCCCTCTCTGCGATGTTAGCGGCGGGGCCCTCAGGGAAGTCGTCTGACGTCAGTGTAGAGACCTCAGGCTGCATGGCGATCTCTGCTGATGTCACTGTAGCTGTCTCCGGTCGCTTCTTGTGGCGTACGTCGGGGATGATGATCGGCTGATCATCGTAGAGGCCCAGTTCAGCGGCTGGAACAATCTCGGTTGAGAAAGTCCTAGTAGACTTCGTTGATTTCCCCTCAGAGGTCGACGCTGCCCTGGGGGTGCGAAGTCTGCGTTGAGTGTTGGTAGCGACGGGACCCTCAGGAAGAATATCAGCGTTGGTACATCAGGCTGCATGTTGATCTGCGCTGACATCACTGTTGTCGACATCGGTCATTCTTTTGATGTACATCAGGTATGATGATCGGCTGATCATCATACAGGCCCAAATCTGCGACGGGAACAATCTCGGCTGAGAAAGTTCAAGTAGACTTCGTTGATTCCCCCTCAGAGGTCGCGTTGAGATGCAGTAGAAACCCTCTAGTCTTCGGCTGCGACGATGGGATGTCTGGGGAAGCAGGACGCTTCTTGGAGGCGGCGGACTACGTCCCACGCCTCTCCACCACTCTAGCGGAACACCAGACGGGAGGGGGGTCGACCAACAGCAGTAGACTGGCGAGGGGTTCAGGTGTATCAGTCATGGCTAGACTCTGCATACGCGACCTATCTGCTGCGCGTCTCAAACGCAAAGTAATATTTATTAAAGGCAGAATTGGATAAATTAGTACCGCAACTGCAATGTGAATAACATGAAACATGGCGCAGTACAGCTAGGGCATATTAAATGCGGATCAGCAGCAGAATAAAAAACGTAATGTGCAACAGTACAGAATTTTTATCAACGTAATCCACTGAAACAACACGGCGTCCCGTGAATAAACAGTAGAAACACGACTAAATATCAATATATAATTGTTGAAGATACTAGCTAAACCTCTATAGATGTCTAACGAGGTAACTAACTAAATATAATCAAAGGATATAGTGTGTCGGGAGACACAGGCGCTCTCACGTCCAGCTCACTGGGCGAAGAAGGAGAGAGTGAGGCACATGGGTGGAGGTGGCGCCCTCGTTCCCGCGCTTGTGGAAGGGAGGTAACTCGTGGTGTACTAATTAGTGATTTTACATTGAAGGGAACTTCAATTAGGGAGATACAAGTGTTCCACTATGTTCGCAAGAGGAAGGAGACAAGCAAAAGAGCATGAGTCAGGATAAGGAAATATAGAATGGTTCAATAAATCAAAAACCAATTAATTTAAACCCGGTAGCACAAAGTCATATGAGATCTCATGCCTACATTGTCTCACCAATGTACAAGTTACTACAGGTTTAAATGCCATGCATTTCTTGGTACACAAAACGTAACTGTTGCATGAAGCAAGTGTCTGCAATGATTTACTCCCGTGAAGGCAGCAAGAGTTGCCTACCTTTCCCATGAGCCCAGTCTCCTTCATGGACACCTTCAACTTTGGACTTATATTCTCCCATTGTCTTCATAACTGTGTCATTAGCCTTCAAGATATCATCTGGAAACAAAAGAAAATACAATCATCTCTACTGTGGCTAAGATGGCCTCGAAGTTACAAGGGTACTGTGGTAGCCTAGTGGTTAAAGAGTTCCATTGTGACGCTGAAGACCTGGGTTCAATTCCCCAGATGGGTACAATGTGTGAAGCCCATTTTTGGTGTCCCCTACCATCATTTTTCTGGAATATTGCTAAAAGTGGCGTAAAACCATACTCAATCAAGTTACAAACACTGCGAATAATACCTAATCACTATTCAGATTATCAGCCATCCCTGTAAATTGTAAGCAACAAATTCAATCACATTTCACTACATTTCTGTCTGTTCGTGCTTATCTTTTCATGATTTTCTGTGCATTTGCACTCATATGAAAACTATGAACACTCATATAAAGTTTACACAAGTAACTAGGTTCTGGAAACATTGGTGACTTACTGATTCCGTCACTGTCTTTCTCATCCACATCACTGGCAAGGCGGAACAGATTGGGGCGTAGCTTCTCTAGCGTCGCATGCAGTTCCTGGGGCACACAGGTTGAAATATTGGTAACATTCTTACAAACATGTCATACCAACACATGGATTTCAGGATAAAAAGAAGCAGATCACTTTACAAATTGATTATTTATATGACTTTGTGCACATTATAAATATCCCTCTCACATGCAATTTAATGTGTAATTTATGTTCAATATCCTCAATTATCTACAGTATCACATCTCTTACCATAAATACCCTGGCTCAGTTCACTCTACCACAACTTCTTGGTGAAAAGCTGCAAATGATTTTTAACTCGGGCGCACGAGTCCTATCCATGTAACCATGACAACACAACTGTCATTGCAGGAGAGTATGTCTCAGTGTGAAATAACAGTCCATAACAACTAGTTCTGGAGAACATGGGAATATCATCAACAAGGTGGCTCATGTTTTCTCGAGGTAGCACGCACCTTCATCATGTCTTTCTCTGCCTGTGTCGTGGTGTTATTGTCATAGATTGCCATCATCTCCGTCAGCAACTTCACATTGTTGCTGATTGTCTCCAGCTCATTGATCCGCCGTGAGATCTTCTCAGTCTTAGCCGCATCCTACAACCATGACCAGCCGGCATGTGTGAGGTGAGGTGAAATTGGGTTTAACGTCATGCTTAAGAATATTTCGCTCATATGACGACGTGCATGCGTGTGTATGTGTATGTGCGGCTGCTTGTACTAGCCCAGACTTAAGCTGGTTTTATAGTGCTAGCCCACTGAGATACCATGCCACAGTGAAGCATGAACACCCCACTCAGACACATTATACTGACTCCGAGCCGACCAGTCCTTGGTGTACCCATTAATGCTGAGCGCCAGGCAGGGACCCACAAGTACCATATTTTAACGTCTTTTGGTATGACGCGGTCGGGGATCGAACCCGCGATCTTCCGCTCTCTGGGCGGACGCTCTAACCACTACACCACGGAGGCGGTCAGGAATTTGAGAGGCAAATCCTTAACAGTTATAGTTACTATCATAAACTGAAACAGTAAGCCTTGAGAATGGCATGTGTCTCCTACATAAAAAAAACTTGTGTTTCCTAATAAAAATAATTATGTATTCACATTGAAATGACTGTATTCACATCGAAATGACTGAAATCATTTTTCAGGATCATACTAAATGCACACACTGTGCATTACCTGTAGAACTATCTTGATGTGTCACAGTCTGAACCTGCTACACATATCCAGGATACCTAATGTATACACAGTGCCTTCAGAGAGTGGTCAGATGTAACATACGTTAAACCTGGTATCACACTTTCATGAAGAGTAAGTTCTAGTACTTTCTGGAGCTGAGTCACAGATGGGATTCAAACCCCCACTCTCAGAGTGAGGCACAAATCACCTGCTTTCAAATAATTGAACACAGATGATCAAAATCACACTGAACCTTTGACATGATCTGCTGTAAAAGATAGGTAAATGTAGTAGTGGTATTACCTCCTTCACCATGTTCTTGATCAGTCTGTTGGCAGCCTGCAAGTCATCTGGGTTCTTACTCTTCAGAAGTTTAGAGAGAAGCTACAACACAGAGACAGGGTCTTTCACCTATCATTTCTTAAACACGCATATATTATGACTATGGGAGCTACTGGAGACAACTTTGTGGAATGTTACAGTCACCTCACATAACCAGCTGATCCACCTTACAGTCACCTCACATGACCAGCTGATCCACCTTACAGTCACCTCACATGACCAACTGATCCACCTTACAGTCACCTCACATGACCAACTGATCCACATTACAGTCACCTCACATGACCAGCTGATCCACCTTACAGTCACCTCACATGACCAGCTGATCCACCTTACAGTCACCTCACATGACCAGCTGATCCACCTTACAGTCACCTCACATGACCAGCTGATCCACCTTGCAGTCACCTCACATGACCAGCTGATCCACCTTACAGTCACCTCACATGACCAACCGATCCACCTTACAGTCACCTGACATGACCAACTGATCCAACTTGCAGTCACCTGACATGACCAGCTGATCCACCTTACAGTCACCTCACATGACCAGCTGATCCACCTTACAGTCACCTCACATGACCAGCTGATCAGTCACCTCACATGACCAGTCACTTACTCTCACATGACCAGCTGATCCTGACCTTACAGTCCACATGACCAGCTGATCCACCTTACAGTCACCTCACATGACCAGCTGATCCACCTTACAGTCACCTCACATGACCAGCTGATCCACCTTACAGTCACCTCACATGACCAGCTGATCCACATTACAATCACCTCACATGACCAGCTGATCCACCTTACAGTCACCTCACATAACCAGCTGATCCACCTTACAGTTACCTAATATGACCAGCTGATCCCCCTTACAGTCACCTCACATGACCAACTGATCCACATTTACAGTCACCAGACATGACCAGCTGATCCACATTACAATCACTTGAAACGTACACCTAATCCACATTAGTCTTACATGATCAGTGTGAAATCTGCATCTCATTAGTACCTACCTTGGCCTTCTCGTCATCTTCAAACACAGCATTCCGTGGCCGCTCTGGTGGGATCTCAAAGGTCTGAAAGTACAGACACAGATTACTGATGCTGATGTTTTGCTTGTCCTACTCACCACATTCATAGCAGTCAGCAAACACGTTGACATGGCAACAGTTTTACTTAGTCATTTCTTTTGTTAGCCTGTCTATGTATTATGTCAATACTAAAATGTCTTAAATGGCATGAAAACATGACAAAGTGCTTAAGGAAGTTATTTCTACTTCCTCATCCAACACTGACATATACAATACAAAGTCTTCTCTTATCTTTGCACAGGAAAGGCCAGTAAATTGAGTAATGCACTTTGTGGCCTATCAGCCGGTACCTAGCAATATGTGTGTGTGTGTGTGTGTGTGTGCGTGCGTGTGTTTGTTTTTCAGGGGGTTCAACCCCCCCCTTTTGAAAATGATTTAAGACCACATTGAAGATTTTTTTTGCGTTGGCGGAGCCAAATGGGGAGTTCAAGGGGATCACAATTCACTTATATATCGTACCGTAACTGGTTTTAGGACGACTACTATTTTCGGACAGCCATTTTACTCGCAAATGCTGGCGTTATAACGAGAGATGTGACGTCATCAAACCTGCTGACTCGTCAGGTAACACCTCCGCTGTCTCTCCGGCAAAATGCTTCGCGTCAAACTTCCTAACGTGACTACAACATCAAAATTATTAAGAATGTACGTTACTTGATCCCTGGATACTTTTTGTAAATACATGAACAATTAAAAACATCTGTATCTCATTAACAACGTGTGTGAAAATCTGAGAGATGCGTCGTCTGCTATGTTGCCAACCTATGCTGAAAGTCGCGTGACACTAAAGGGGGGAAACTGTGGCAAAAGTTTTAATCTATGGAATCTGAGTAGGGTCATCTCTTATCCCGACGGTCTTCAAGAGCTCGACCACTTCTGACCACCGATCGGAAGATAACGGGACCAGCCGGGACAAAAGTCAGACAAGTTCGACATAACAAGTTCATCAACAGCAGCAGCTACAACATTAACAGTTTCCAACTTCTTTGCGAGAATTGATGAAACAATTTTCTTCGACCCAAAACCTACCAAAAAAGCGGAAAGTTATGAGCGCAATAGTTGGAGGACGGGCAATAACTGATGACGACATTCTACAGAAGATGAAAGATCACCAACAAAATCAGCCATCTGCCAAGAAAGTTCAGTTGTCTTCACGTAAATATTGAATATCGTCCGTAAAACCATCTGAGAACTGTATTCCCGAACACAGCACTTCAAGAATTGCCGAACCGAAGAGATCAATGATGGCGATGACGAAGTTTGCTACTAGTGCAAGTTATTTCAGCCTGTAGAGGTGAAACATTGTGTCTCACTTATTTTTGTGAAATGGGCGGAATGTACACACCCTAGTTGTAAATACTGGGTCTACCTACAGTTTTGCACTCCCGCCAAAACAGTTTGTCGAAATTCAGTGTTTTGGTGTCCATGTCGCAACGAGAAAGAGTAGAGAAAGAAAGTTTGTCAGCCAGTGTAAATATGTTGCTGTTTCTAAAGTGTTGTGATTTTCATATCAGAACTTCAAATTTGGACACGTTTTGTTTGTTAACGTCGGCTTTGCCGATTTCTTTCGTGAACAGTGCACCATACATTGTCGCACATTCCGGGGAATCCCTCTGACACATACACCAATCAAGTGTCCGGAAATAAGTGACGTCACTCTCATCTATCGGAAGTCTCCCAGTTGAACAATGGCCGTCACACCGTTTATTGAGGACTCGATGGAGATCGGGAATTGTGTTGATTTGATCCCTAAATAAATCATCTAAAGGTAAAAAACTGTTTTGGAGTTGTTTTTTTATTGATTCATCCGAGCGATACATAGTATTCTTATCTGTCCGAAAACCAGGTTCGCGAGGATAGCAGACAGAGTATATATGTTCTGCAGGTCATAAGACCTAACCTGTCCATAATATGATCATATTATATGCTTAAGATTTACATTGTACAAAATCAGTTGTAATAACTCATCTTCCAAATCTGAAAAGATGAAAATAACGTCTTATTACTAACACATCAATTACCATACTGTAACCATAACTGTCACAAGTTATCACAACAATTGAAATAAACAATTATCCAGTACAATTGAAAAGTACTATTAATTTCTGGAGTTACTATACATCATGACACACCATTAATTAGATATCCTCGTGACCCTAGAAATGAATGATGGATTCACATTGATAAACTACCACTGGACTTGCCACAGATCATAACTAGAGCTACTTGCGTTAGTATCACTATGTTCAACATCAATAACATAATGAGACAATAAACTTTAAAGGAATGTATTAGAATAATTAAACAAACAAATCCATAAATCATACTGCGGACTGTCAACACAAATACAGTGGAACCAACAACACAACTCAAGAGAAGCCATGGACTGACAACCACATGAGGGATACAACACAGTATGTGAGACGGTCCAAGTGATTACATCGTGGGACTGGGTACATCCAACAACACAATGTGTGAGACAGTCCAAGTGATTACATCGTGGGACTGGGTACATCCAACAACACAATGTGTGAGACAGTCCAAGTGATTACATCGTGGGACTGGGTACATCCAACAACACAATGTGTGAGACAGTCCAAGTGATTACATCGTGGGACTGGGTACATCCAACAACACAATGTGTGAGACGGTCCAAGTGATTACATTGTGGGACTGGGTACATCCAACAACACAATGTGTGAGACAGTCCAAGTGATTACATCGTGGGACTGGGTACATCCAACAACACAATGTGTGAGACAGTCCAAGTGATTACATCGTGGGACTGGGTACATCCAACAACACAGTATGTGAGACGGTCCAAGTGATTACATTGTGGGACTGGGTACATCCAACAACACAATGTGTGAGACAGTCCAAGTGATTACATCGTGGGACTGGGTACATCCAACAACACAGTATGTGAGACGGTCCAAGTGATTACATTGTGGGACTGGGTACATCCAACAACACAATGTGTGAGACAGTCCAAGTGATTACATCGTGGGACTGGGTACATCCAACAACACAATGTGTGAGACAGTCCAAGTGATTACATCGTGGGACTGGGTACATCCAACACTACATTTCTGACGTGAAGGTGAGGTGAGGTGAAATTGGGTTTAACATCGTGCTTGAGAATATTTCGCTCACATGACGACGTGCATGCGTGTGTAGGTGTATGTGCGGCTGCTTGTACTAGCCCAGACTGAAGCTGGTTTTATAGTGCTAGCCCACTGAGATACCATGCCACAGTGAAGCATGAATACCCCACTCAGACACATTATACTGACTCTGAGCCGACCAGTCCTTGTTCTACCCATTAGCGCCAAGCAGGGACTAACAAGTACCATATTTTGATGTCTTTTGGTATGACGCGGTCGGGGATCGAACCCGCGACCTTCCGCTCTCTGGGCGGACGCTCTAACCACTACACCACGGAGGCGGTCCTGACATGAAGGACAGTAGTACTGTCACACTTCTGACTTTGCCATGTACTTCGATAAGCAATACAATTACAGTCAAGTCTCGTTAATCCTACATCGTCCATCACACAGCAAAATGTCAGATTATCAAGGATGTCGGATTGTCGAATTCTGAGTACAGATCACGTTCATGGTAAAAAGCAGGACAATCATGATTCATATTTAGTGTGTGTGTGTGTAATTAAGCCACTAGGCTACCCCATCGCCCCTACTTGTCTGAGCCACTGACTTGGACAGTGATTTAACACAGATTGTAAACCAAAAGTCACTGTGTTCTTTAATCTGATTGGTTGAAAAACGTGATCAAATGGTATTTGATTCCCGGAAATTGTCTGCGTATTAATACATACAAACATCGCTCACACCATTGTATTGTTACGTCGTCAGCTGTGATGACGTCATTAAAATCATATTGTGACGTAAAGTCCGAATGACGTCACAAATGAGCAGTTCCAGATGCTACCATGGGAGACAGCCGAAACGGCCGGCTGATGAGATTTCACTGCTGTACCCGTACTCGATGTCAATGAGAGCAGACACAAAAAACGTGTGTGGACTTTTTGGTTTACTTTTTGTGTTTACAATGTCGATAAACATCATGTGTTGGCTAATTTCGGGTGTTATTGAGTATTTGAAGCACGGGAATATTTCATTTGAAACCTCCGGCTGACGCCGTCGGTTCCAAATGAATTCCCGTGCTTCAAATACTCAATAAAACCCGGAAATTGGCCAACACATTGTGTTTATCTCCTGAACAGCACAGTGTCATTCTCATGAAATGACAAAAGAGTTAAGTGTTGCTGCTTGTCATATAAAGACCAAACAGAAATGTGTTGCTGCATGTTGTGTCTTACATTTGAACAATTGCAGTCTGTAATTCACTGTCCATCACAGGAAAGTCTCATGGCCTGGCATGTCAAGACACCGTTTTGAAATCATGGTAATGAGAGAACAATGAGGCCAGGCTGACTCCAGTCATCTGAAATTTTGACTTTACTGGCTATCGTCTGTCATCAGAACTGTCAAAACTTTAAACTCAAGTCCCATAAATCTTGAGTCTTGTGTTCAACTTTCACTTTTACAGTGAGACAAAGATGACACAGTGCTGACAATATTACAAGGACACAGTACACAGAACAAATTCCGAACTGAAGGCTAACACAACAGGCAAAATGATGAAACATCACTACGGTTACCTGGAAGTACTGGTCACCAATAAAGAAGAATTGAAATGGATTTAGTAGTGACAAATGAGTACAATGGAGAATTACTCAATTAGAATACTGTGGTTACCAAGGTTACGTATTCAGAATTAAAGAAAGTCAAGTTTACAGTGTGAACAACCAAAAGTATTGTTTAACTTTGGTTTGTTTATTGTTGTATGCTCCACTTGGCAATATTCCACTACAGTCAGTAAATAATCGAGTCTAGATCAGACAAGCCAGTGATCAACAGTATGAGCATCGATCTACAAAATTGGGATGCGATGACATATGTCAACCAAGTCAGCGAGCCTGACCACCCGATCTTGTTAGTCGCCTCTTTTGAGGATGGGTTGCTGAAGATCAATTCCAACCCGGATCTTCACAGGTTCTTTAACTTTGGTAACTGATGTTGACATATATATATACTGTTTCATTCTAACATAAAAGGGGTAAATTGAAATCACATTTGTAATCTCACTACTGCTATACAAAGATGTTAAGACATTCCGTTACAGGTCAGATCAGAAGGAGCAGCTAGATAATACAAATTACTTCTTTATTGAGAATTATCAGTGTGTGACTGGCATGGATTAAACATACAAATTCACACAAGAGAGCCAGGTAATGTCTTAATTCAATCTGAACAATAATCAAGTGTATAACCCACAACCACATACATGTGCTTAGCTGTCATAATCCACAGTCAGTGTTTCCCATATCTTGTTATGGGTATTCAAAAAATCAGAAAATGCTATTTCCACTACAGCCAACTTAATGCAAGAAACAGCAGTAAAGCCTTCAGGAAGTGCCCCATTTTCTGTTCCCTGTTGGGTAATATTACTAACAACTAACAAATCCCCACTGGCAGCATCAAATGTTTGAAGAATGAAGAAATACAGATAGCTGCCCTAGGTGATGGTGGCCTCAGTTACAACACTAATTCAGTGTACATGTCATCAGAAATTCCCATTTGCATAGAGCTATTCTGTATTCTATCAACAGTCTTACTCTGGCATGAAACTTGTGATTTTGTAATGGTTTTATAATCCCCTGTAAAGTACTAGCAAGGGATAATGCCATCTTCAAACATTCACAAACATGACATCAAGTAGCTGAAGATCGTTTTGTAAATATTCATAAAAAAGGATGAATTAGTCCAAAAGCATGAAGCAAAGTTATATTTCTCTGTGAGATACAGAAATTATTTAAACAGTGTAATGGGATTATCCTTGAACCTCTAGCTTGACACAGATGAGCACCTGACCAGGTGATGTAGAGATGTAAAGATTCACTCACTGTGTCTACGTATGTCGGATCCTCCTTCACTATGCCCTGGGTCTTCAGCATGGTGTAAGCCTCCTGGATCTTGCTCTCATGTGTCAAACCCTTGCTCCAGCTGTACAGAATCTCAATACACCTCTTCTTCACTTTCTCTGTTGTCTTTGAGCCTAGGTACTAAAGTAAAACAAACAAGCTGGTGTCAGTGAGAGAGCACAGGTGTAGTGGATTTGCATGTAATAATAATGTTGTAGCCATACATATGTTAATGGCATGCCCTACTACTTCAGACTAAAAGAAGAATTAGGCTTAGGTGAGTTGACATTTAGTGAGTGAGTGAGTGAGTTTAGTTTTATGCCGCTTTCAGCAATATTCCAGGAATATAACGGTGGGGGACACCTGAAATGGGTTTCACACATTGTACCCATATTGGAAATCGAACCCGGGTCTTCTGCATGATGAGCAAATGTGTAAAACACTAGGCTACCCCACAGCCCCGAGTTGAGATTTACTATATTTAGGGATATCAATTTACATGAAACAAATCAACAGCCATACAAGAAAGGAGTAGTATTAGAGATACTGCGTGAGTGTTGGCTTAATGTCATGTTTAACACTACTTCAGGCCAAGAATCATAATCAAGGTGAATCTGGTATTAGGGCCAACAGCTAGAGTGGGTGAGTTCAAGTGATCAGTGTTTTAAACAGTTTCCCTATTATATCATTATGTGTCTGCTAATGTGGGAGGGAAGCCCAGAGTGTGTCATGTTTACCTTTCAGGTGAAACCCACAGGCACGGAAATACTACTGACAAACCAAGAAACCTAATCAGGCAGAACCCGGAATTGAACCCACAAATGCTTTCTTTCCATGACCAAGGCATGCAACTCCGCACAAACACCTGCACCACCTTAGATAACCGGGCCACCAACAAATTCCATCGTGTTGAACATTAGGTGCCCTTACTCACAGAAGGAATCTCAACATCTTGGTTATCATTTATATACTTACCTTGGGAGACACAACTTTGATAATCTCATTTAGAAAGCGAAATTTTCCAATTTCTTGATGAAATCTGCGGCCACAGTTCTTCACACATGCTTCCAGTGTCTGAAGGATAAAACAAACACAGTCACCACGATGATAAAACTAATATGCTCTCAATACAGTGATACATGTATACTGTATATTATATGCTATGAGAAGGCTGTGTCTTCAAACACCCTTTGTCCATTCTTGACAGAGCAAGTGTATGGGTTGTACACATTTTAAACAATATTTCAGTAGCTTTAAGATATGTTAACATAATAAAGTAACTCTGCAAAGAAAACCACAATATATTGAATTTCGACTTTCTCATCATGATACTTTTTTCCAGCGTGATATGAGCACAACTTTCACAAGTGGGTACGTGATACATGGTCTCAAATGGGCTAACTGTAGACAGGAAGCCGGTCACAAATACTTTCACATATTTGATCACCAGTTTCAAGTTCTAATATCTGAATTTTGTAACAACAAATTTGACTTGTAATGTACAAAAACTTTGCCAACAAGACAAACATATGGATGATGTATCGTAATACATACTCATTTTCATTGCAATTATGATATACAGGTAAACCTGTAGCACCCACACCTGTAAAACCCAACAATAATTTTCATTGCAAATCTGGATTAACAATGACAACTCACAGTGAGGGCAAACAGTGACTCTCTCTCCTGGGGTGACTGTATCTTGTGTGCCAATAGTCGCACAGCAAACTGAGGTCCCTCCAGTTCATGGTTCACCTTGTCACAGAACGCCATGATGAAGTCCCAGTCCTCATCTCTCTGGGCTGGGTTTGTCGCTTTGTCTGGTGATGTAGATAAACATTGTTTGATCTCAACATCACCTTAGGAAGGGCTTACATTTATCAATATTGTTATGACGATAATATACTTTGAAAGGTCTTAGCAAGTCAACCATGTATGTAGTGTTTCTAACACAAACCAATACATGAGGTATGAGTTAATCCAACTAGTATACACTTCATTTAAATAAATTCTATATCTCACTCTCAGACAGAGGTTACCATGGTTATCATACCAATATTTGTGTGAAAGAAACACAAGATCAGTGCACTTTACCAGGCAGATTTTGTACAATTCAACTAGTACTGAGTGGAGGATGGAACTCATGTTGCCAGCTTGAAGCTAAGCTAGGCTGATGGGTTTGTCTAATTAGTCTACAATTTACCATGGGATTACAGATGCTTTCACAAAAAACAAGTGTTTGCCACTAATATGGCAATGTCCTGCCGCTAAAGAAGAATGAAATATTTACAACATATTTACTACTTTTTGGTCACATACAAGATGCCTGAAATGACTGGTGTCTGCATAATCACCCAATGTAGGCTGTCAACATAACTGAAGACATTGGGTGCAATGTTTTATGAGATATGGTGTTTACATACGTTTGAAAAGTGGTCAAAGTGTCTTGGTGACCTTGACGATAAGGTCAAGGTCATCCAAATCTACTGGTTTCTCTGCATAATCCCCAATGTAGGCTGTCACCAAATTTGGAAACATTGGGTACAATAGTTCATGAGATATTGCGTTAACAAGAGCTTGAAAAGTGGTCAAAGTGTCGTGCTGACCTTGAAAATAAGGTCAAGGTCACCAAAATCTTCTGCGTAATCCCCCAATGTAGGCTGTTACCAAATTTGAAGACACTGGGTACAACAGTTTATGAGATATCATGTTAGCAAGAATCAGGACGTACGTACGGATGCTGCTGAATACATAGTCCCCTGTTCCGCGTTCCGGGGACAATAAGTGTTTGTCTACCAAATGATCAAAACCGAATTGTTCACCTTTTGGGCATACAGAGTAGTCATTTTCAGGGGAAATTTGAAACAGTGTGATTTTCCACAGATTTTGGATTAATTTGTCAAAAAGAGAGAAACCCATACACTACCTCAAAACTAACCTTAAGGATAGTAATGGGGTTGCTTAATCCAAAAGGTCAGAAAGGGGTGTTTGATTAGCGAGTAGTGCTCAAGATTTGTTTGTTTGTTGTTTAATGCCACAGTCGGAAATATTCCAGCTATATGACAGCAGTCTGTAAATAATGGATTATGTACCAGTCAATCCAGTGATTGACATCCTGACCACCGATCTTCACAGTTGGGATACCATGACACATGTGTGAACCAAGTCAGTGAGCCTCACCACCTAATCCAGTGTTGCTTTTTACAACAGGCATGGGTTGCTGAAGACCAGTGCTAACCCACATCATCACAGGTACCCAACCCTATGAGTAATGAAGGGGTGCTTGTGGCTTACTTGGAAAGGGGTTCCTCACCCTAATAAATGTAAAACTGTTCTTGATTGGAAAGGTTTGCTGAGATTAGAGTTGAGAGCAATCTACCCAAACAAAAACCTAGGAAACTTTAAGGACCGAGGGGGTCATGCATGATGCGTGAAGCCAGGGATAGAAATGCAATTTTTTCGAGGGTGCCATATGGCCAAAGAAAAGGTACTAAGGCGTGCTTTCGTGAAAATATGTGTGCCCATCCATTTTGATGATTGAGACTTAAAACATCACAACAATTCTGTTCAATTCTTTGTTTAATGAATCAGTAGACATCATGTAAACCTGTAAACTTGAGAGCAGGATTCCCTGAACACTATTGCGACAACAACAATAGTTCAGCTTCATTTGTCCTGGACCCATTAACTAACCCACAAACTATACTATCATCCAAACTATGCTATCGTCCAAACTTGAATTCAAAATGGTCAAGCCCATGTTAAGATGTGAGATAGAGTGTACCAATAAATAGTTTCATGAGGTGCAAAAACTGTTTTTCAATAATCTGAATTGGTCAAATTTATTGCTTTTTCCATTACATGAATCATGTTGAGTATTTTTTGTATAATTTTAAATGTGCTGCCAGGGCACTGCAAAAATATTTTATCCATGCCATTTCAATATGTGCACAAAAATCAAGCACTATTTCTATCACTGGAAGCGAAAGCAGCTGGCAAACTCAGCTTGTGAAAACTGTAAGCAGTGCCCGCTGAACTGCAGTATTACTGAATCACATATAACATGCTTGAAACCCCAAACTTATTGTGGTTTGCTCGAATTATTCTGCAAGAGATGTTTTTTCATCAGTGATCACACTGTGGATGTAGGCTTGCATGCAACCAGACTCATCTCTTGTTTAAAAACAAATGCACATATTCGGAAGGAAGAACAAGCAGGCTAACTGGAAGCCTTTTGTGCACCTTACAGTTGTTTGTGTGTGCATAACGATATAGATATAATACTAAAGCACATAAGTGTGGTGCATGACAATAAAGCCTTTAGCATCCAACAGACCTTATTGCTGGCATTTTGTATGGATTCAAGGACAGCATGTGGAGGATAAATATGCAAATGGAAATAGCTATTCATGTTTCAGAATATTTTCTCAATTAAAGTTAATTTTTTGTAACATGTATTTATTCAAATGTGTAACCATGTCCAAAATAAAAAAGATGAAAAAAAAAACATGAATGGATTGTATAATGTGTGATGCTGGTAGGAAAGTGATTGGCTTATTACAGCCGAGCCATTGAATATTGTGATATAGACTTGATAATCAGTGAAGCAGTGAAGCAAGATAGCAATATTAGCACTTTGCAAATCATCCATAATGTTTGGTTTGAGAACAGAATGAGCTCAAGGTGTGACAGACTCAGAAATTATTTCATGCATGATTTAAAACACACAGAACCGTTGACATACTGGCCTTTTAAGGGCAAGAAATTGAAGGAAAGGTTGCACCGTAACACAAAAGTGGAGAGTTTGGTTTATTATCATGATTATGTTTAACACTTTAAATAGTAAATGCCATGGCATATAATCTTTATGTGGAATCTGACTGCCTACTTGCTATACTGAATAGACCAAAATACATGTACAGTTACCAGGCTTCCGCCTAAGGTCGCAGACTGACACTGTTTATCATACAAATGAGGGGAACATGACCACTGCTGACATGATGATCATTTGCCTGTGTATATACACAAGATACATAGGTCACTAAGGAGGCAATGCTAAATTTGGGATACACAGTCATCTATTTTCTGTTAGGATCTTTTCGGGTATGCTTCATAATGATTGCGTCTGGTCCGGTTTGACCAAAAAAGTGGTCGTGGCTAAATTTCCACGAACACTTATTTAGTCAAATCATTCTGATAAATAGCTATTGTGACTTAGTACTAATATTTGTCTGCATCACTGGTACCCAACATAAATTGTATCTTGAGTAACCATTGTCAACTGACTGAATAAAAGGTAGGTCTGGCAGTCCATGATAAACACCTTTCGTTAGCACCAGACAGGGTCATATCAGACTATAACGAATTTACACGCACATGCCGGCCGGAAATTATTTATGCAGGCGCTGTTTCAAATCGTCCTTACACCATTGTGACAAATACATATTCAAAAATAACAATCAATCAAACAATTTGTGCTCTGTTGTCCTCTGCAAAATATTCAGTCTGCCACGAACTTACTCAGTACCGACTCCAACGTTTCTCGTTCTTCGGCCATCTTGGTGACTATCACGCGACAAGTTGCGCGAGATTGTACGATACTTCCGACACTAAGGGGGCGTGGCATTGACAAATAACATACGGTTATAACAGACAATATCGCGAAGTTATGAACACGAGCCCAGATACAGATGACTGGGTGCACATTGTATTAAATATAGGATATGAATCAATAATATATGGAGCTTCTGAAATACATCCATGCACCAGAAATGACAAAAGTATTATATTAGAGAACAATAAAGTGCGAGAGACATATATACATGAATACCTATATGAAACCAGGGAGAATAGAAGACGATGCTGTAGATTATCCCTGATGAAACAAACAATCGGTGCAGAAATCAGAGTAATTTGCGAAATGCCCTTACATCGCTCCTAAATTCCGTCTTCGCTGTATTCTCAATTACATAATATCAAATTCGAATTATTTGGAACATTAATGCACCTAAAGCAAAATACTTTTTAAAAAATTACTTAGAATGTATTTTATATCTAGGTCAGAGAAATATCATATAAAATATAGAAAATAAATAACTGTAATAACTTTCACAATCACCAGCATTATAATTAATAGAAGTAGCTGTTCTAAATTTGTTCATGATAATCTGCCATAATATATATGGCTCATTAGTACTTCATAGAAACTGAAACTGAGTTTTAAACTTTTCCACGGTATCGCCATTGCGATAGTAGGGTAGACTCCTGGAGTAGAATGGACCGTGTGGAGGGACGTTATACGTTGAACAAAACACGCATCCGTACACTTGTTGATGTCAGTTTAGCAGATGCAGTCTCTTCATATTTGGAATGTACACGTGTGTATAAGTTTTGTGAACAATGCTGCCCTTGTTTCTTCTTTGGATGTTATGACATAGATATCGTATCTATTTATTTACATTTTGAAAAAAGATAATTTATTTTATAAATTCAGGTTTATGTTTCAACGTGTCATGATTTTTTTCCTTTTTGCTCCTTGATAATAACTACCTGGAGATAACACAGATAAACGACGAAGGACAGTAAAGGCAGACAGCTGAATATTCTGAATATTGCATAGGCACTTGTAACCTTTAATTCACACTGACCTCATACATAGTTCTGGAAATAGTTATGTTATTTTTGTGAACAATTCTCATTTGTACAAGTTACACCACGAACAATTATCAATAACTGGCAAGGGATTCAAGTCTAAGTAAACAAAGTAAACTAAGTATTATTCGTTACACTGCTATCAGTGTAACGAATAATACTGAGCCTAAGTTTACTTAGACCGAAGGGATTCGTGCGTAAAATATCCTTTGATTGCGTCCCTTGAATCAGAACTCTTCAATGATGAGTATTGTTTTTACGGAAATAAACATTTCCTAATGTACACGCTATACGCTGAACATTCTAGGCATGTTCGGAGATCGCAGTTTCCTCCCACCAGTCAGTGACAGGTCACAAAATACACGTCAGCGTTAGCCAGTGTTGTATAACACGCATATACACAGGAGATGTTGTTATTGGTGGTTTCAAGTCGTCTCGTGGCGGGACATCAGAAGAGGTTTCACTAGCGGTATGCAACCTGTTGTCTACAATGTGTTGAAACAGTTACATTGATTATATCTACAGGCGAGTTTTGGAAAGATGTGTCATAATGTATATTGGCAGAGAAATGTTAGGTAAGAGTTCCGCCGGTAACCCCCGCTTGAAATGTATTCTATTTATTAGGATTATTTCGAGGGTTTAGGGTTAGGTTTGGGGTTAGATTTTAGTATATCATGTTTGGTATCATGTAATTTAGGTATCATGTTTGTACCATTTCCAGTCTAGCATTTTAAAGGAAAACAGAACTCCACCTTTAAGCCGCCCAGTTGACACCTCTTTAATTAACCTGTGTAATCATCAGGTGCCAATTGGCGTCAGCAACTCAACAAACTGTCTTTCCTACGAGCTGGGGAAGACCTTGTTGACAACCAAGGGAATCTCCTTGAATTCTCATATATGATCGAATCACGCTCACCAAAACATTTCACAGTAACCTTAATGGTTACTGGTCATGCTTTACATTTTTTAAGCATAAATCAACAACAAAAGCAAATGTCAGTTTGACTGAACCTCTTTACTGTAAATCCTTTGTTATCACCAGACATATAGGTGTTGCTTCGCACAGCAAGAATAGCCCTGAACACAAGTAAAACATGTCGAAATATTAGTCCATAATAAGCAAATTTGTATTACATGAAGAAACAACAAATCCATACTTTTGTTTACCTTTAACTGGATAGTACCATACGGTGACAGTTGTAGCCAGTCACACCATGTTTAACCCGTGAATATCTTGGTTAGAATTGATCTCCAGTAACCCAAGCTTGCTATCATCATATCCCAATTGCGTAGATCGGTGCTCATGCTGTTGATCAATGGGTTGTCTGGTCCAGACTCGCTTATTTACAGACCGCCGCCGCCATATAGCTAAAACTTACCTCGCGCACACCATGTTTTGTTTGTTTCTTGTTTATTGTTACGCTTAACAATGTGTCAGTTATATGATATTGGTCTGTAATTAACTGAGTCTTGACCAGACGATCCACTGATTGACGTCATGAGCATTGATCTACACAACTGTGATACGATGACATGCAATCAACCAAGATACAGAGTGAATGTTTGACTGTTTTATTTGATCAATAGTATAAGCCGAACCAATTGTATTTCATGTGTTGTAGATGGATGATACGTACAAGGCCATTGGGGCAATGTTGGCTATGCTCTTCTTTGTGGTGTACCTGTCCCGCTTGTACCGACGATACAGACTCAGACACTATGAAGTGCCTGTCCGAGATATACGTAAGGGGCATCGATGGTTCATGATGGACCTGTTCACAGAACCCACATACTGCAACATCAGCGGTTACCACATCATTCACGGGGCCAGGTGTGACTCGTGCGGCATCAGCGTGTACGACCACAGCATGAGAGCAGCAGACAAGAAGTTCAAATGTAAACAGGTGTGCATTAAGGGGGAGGTAATGCATCACCAGTGGATTCCAGGTAACCTCCCCTTGTGCAGCGTCTGTGATGTGTGTGGTGAAGACTGTGGCAACTCCCCAGAGCTGTGTGATCGGCGATGCTGCTGGTGTCAGCGAACCGTCCATGACGACTGTACACCCTCCACCGATATCTGTGATATGGGGGCCAACTGTAAAGAAATTGTACCTCCAAACTGCCTTGAACTTAAGTGGGTAGGGCTCAAAGGTCGTAAACATCTCATTGTGAAGTCTGTCCGCAAACCTTCCATTCCAGAATGGTCTCCCCTGATTGTCATAGCTAACAGGAAGAGTGGGAACAATGATGGGGAACATGTTCTGCAAGCATTCCGTGCAATACTGAACCCAGCACAGGTATGTTCATTCATCTGAGTTAAGACCAGTGAAGATCTGGGTTAGAATTGGTCTTCAGTAACCCATGCTTGTCGTACGAGGCAACTAATCCAGATAAGATTTAGCTCATGTAGGTACTGTACCCACTGTATTTTTTTGGAGTGGGTATTATGAATGTTGAGTGGGTATTTCATTTTCTGTTACCCTCTGCTCTCAAATATGTGCGTATTTCAGTCATTTTACTCGCCTAAGTATATGCCATTGAGTAAGTTTACTAAGCAGGTATGTTCTGCCTTATGTCATACTACTGTATATTACCGGCTATAAGCCGAATTTTGAGGACCAAAAAAAGCAGTCTGTAGAAGGGGGTCGTCTTATCCATGGGTTACGCTTTCGTCAAACGTTTTTCTGGGGGTAAGAAAACAACATCATATCACTTCGCGTGAACAAACAACAGAAGATGACTTTGTCAGTACAGACGTCAAATTTGCAATTAAACATCACTAGACAAGATTATTTACCTTTTAAGTTCTAAGTTGTTTTTGCTGGGCATTGTATTATTTGCAGGGATTAAGATTACTGTGTGTATCTAAGCCGGAAATAGCAATCAGCTGTGCACATGTTTCCCGGCGAACAAGTTCAAACATGCACAATAATATAACGGGACGAATTCTGACGCAGTCATCAGTAAAATATAATACAGAATACTATTATTTAACCCAAAGAAATATAACCTAGCATTGTGTAATTTTAATTACAGTTTTTATGTAAAATAATATAATCAACACTAAGGTTATACGGACCCTCATGAACGTGGTACGCAGAAGTTGTACGCACATGGAATGGGGTAAAATACGGAAGCCATTTAAATTCACACATTTTTACCGATGTTACTGTAAACTAGCAGTCAATGGAAAGCGAGGCAGTAATCAAAACCAACTTAAAAATAATGGAAATGATTTCATAAAAAATCACTCATCCTATACTGACAGTACAACACTTGTCTTATACTAACAGTACAACTTGATAGCAATCGATGTCTTTTTCATTACGCAAGCGATTTTGATAAATATATTCTGTACGCATTTGTGTTAAACATTTTAAATGCGTAATTGGTATGCAACAATTATTTTTCAATGCGTAATTCTATGCGTATTTTACCTGGATACGCAGCTTATCTTGGCCTCTGCATATGTGTTGAATTTGAGTATAAATATATTAAAAAACCACTTGCTTTTGGTGGGACAAATGTGAACTGACCCTGTTTCCTATCCTCAGGGAGAGCTAAGTATGGAAGAAGTATTATTAATATTATACAGGTTTTCTTTGGTATGTTTGGTAGTTTCAGGTAGGACTATTTTGGGCCAATCACCACCATCTGGGTACAAAATGCTTTCATTACCCTGTGTATTGTGTTGCTAGGTGATAGATCTCCATGACATTCCCCCGGAGAGTGGCCTTGAGTGGTGCCATCTTCTCCCTCTCATCCCTGTGCGTGTCCTTGTGTGTGGGGGTGATGGCACCATCGGCTGGGTCCTCAAGTCTATAGAGAAGCTACAGTTCAAGGTATATTTGCATCCACCCTAGACAAGTACTAATCAGTGCACCCACAATGCACCTATTCTTGTAGTAAATTTTATAGTATTTCCTGGAAGTTTTCAACCAGAAGCACTTCGAGCAGTCCTTTCTGATCTAATACAAATGACCAAATTCATATATCTGTACGGAATTACCAAGGCATTTCTTGATTCTAATGTATGTATGTTTTTTTGATAATATGTTTTAGTATTTATCCTATGTCTTTGTTCCAGAAGCCCCCACGAGTGTGTATATTACCGCTTGGCACAGGAAATGACCTGTCTAGGGTGCTGGGATGGGGTGAAGGTTACACAGGAGATGTGCAGGTCACGGATGTTTTGTCTCAGTTGAAGAAGGCCCACCCTGTAGCCCTGGACAGGTCTGTGTGTGAACTTAATGTTAGGGATACAGTTGAAGAATAGGGATACAGTTAGGGATACAGTTGATGCAATTTGGTCAATGCATTCTATTTATTAGGATTAATTCAAGTGGTTAGGGCTAGGGTTAGGGCTTAGGGCCTACCTTTAGAATACAGCACCACAAACTTTAAAAATACGTCATAATACCCTTTTACGTAAATGTAATGTGATTTTGTTCGAAAGCACGTTTTCGAAACAATGCCCTATGACGCCTGCATGGCAACACGGTTGTCTAGCTCAGTGAGTGCATATAAGCTCCGCTCACTGGTGTTTCATCTCTACGAGCTATGTCATTGCATAAGCCCAACGATGTTGAGAGTTTCCAGTAGTTGTATACCGGCGGATGCGTAATATTTTGCAAGCACCAGTTTGAAATATTTTAATCTTTTCACTAATACGCTCATATTTATTTGTATTACAGGGTGCTGAGGTGTTACGTTTTGTGTATTTTGTATATTTTGTATTTTTTAAAGTTACATATATAATTTTTAAACTTATCCTATCTCACGACTTGCACCTCTCTCCCTTCATTCGCCCATGAGTGGAAACGAATTAAACTTTGCTCCAGGCCTACCTTGTCCCTGTCCCCGTGTTGTGCATGCCTTCCTGTCTTAGCCATGCTCACTAGTCCGTGACAGCACGAGGCATGTGCAGTCCTCACTCACATGATCACCTTACATACTCATTCTCTTTCTTGTCGCTCGACAGAGTGGACGTGAAAAGTTTTTAGTCTTAGAATTGCTCAACATGGATAAGCCTGTTCAGGCCAGAAAACGAAAGTTTTGCGCTCAATGTAATAAAGTCTTTTCACTTTGGGACCCACACAAATCGTGTATTGATTGTGTGGGTTGTTGTGATTGGGACAAACGTTGTCCTAAGTGTTCAGGACTGTCTAATGAGGATTTTAAAGCTTACAAACGTGCTTGTGCCCGACGTTTGGCAGATAGGGCCAGGAATGCTTCTGCGGGATCTGGTCCATCTCCCGCTAAAAAACAATGTTTAGATCGCCGCACCCTACCTGTTCGCCGTTCTAAATCTCCCGTCTCTCCTAACGAAGATTTTATGGACGCTTCGTCTGATTCCTATTTGTCTGAGGATGTTAAAGGCTTTTGGGACGCTTTCCTCACCTAGCTTAAGTTCTCATGGGCAGACAAGGGTGGTAATGACTGATATTTCTTTTACACAAGACCTGCGATCTACTTTATCTCGTAGATCCTTTTCTTCGGACAGTTCAAAGTCCTCGAAAACTTCTAAATCCAAGCATTCATCATCGAAGCGTAGATCGGCGTGGTTGGAATGTAACCGTTCTCCTCTTCGTACGGTTTCATGCCACTGAAACAATTCACCCACACGAGTTGAGTCACCATCTCGTTCGGAGGTTCGAATTCGTTCTGCTACTGCTGGGAAGTGTCGTTCTAGATCTCGTTCACACTCGTGCTCTCGTCGTCCTTCCAATGTACCAGTCCGAACCGATTCACCACCTCGATTCATTTCACCAATCAGAATTGGGTCTAATGCCAGTGTTGGTTCACCTAGCTGTGTCATTGCCAAGGGTCGAACGAGTTCACCAGACCGAACTTATTCACGTAATCGAATGGATTCACCAGGACGAACCGGTTCACGTACCCGACTCAATTCACGTCAACATATGTTTCTGTTCGACTCATCATCTCATGGTCGAATCAAATCACCACAGCGTTTTGATTCACGTAGTCGTTCAGTCTCACCTAGTCGAAGTGGTTCGCCATTTCGATCCGGTTCACCTAGCCGTACGGTGTGTTTTCGTCAGAGTGATTCTCGTAGTCGGTCTCATTCACCTCAGGTGAATCAGGAAATCCCGTCTAGTCAGTCTAGAGCTAGTGAGCACTTGCGGTCAGCGCCTTTGCGTGATAGTTCCCCACATCAACATCGTTCTGTGCGGGTGGTTTCACCTGCTAGGCTGCGTTATTGTTCAGTGGATCGGCGTTCACCTTCACGCCATGCCACTTCTACTTTGCCTCGGTCACAGGTTATTGCTGAGTCTTGGAATCCTGTGCTTGATTCCTCTCCAGCGACGGGTTTAGACACCATGCTTCATGCTGTTGACCCTAAGTAGCGTAATTTTGAGCACACTGTAACAATATTTACTTCCTCGGATCCCCACTCGTCATGTGTGGGTTGTATTGACCTGTGTTCCTGGAGCAAACGTTGTCGGTAATGTGCTCCCGAATCGGTTCGCCATACCGAATGGATTCACCAGACCGAACTGTTTCGCCACGGCGTATGTGAATTACGACATCGACTCCATTCACCATAATATTAAGACTGTTTCTTATCGCCGAAACAGTTCGCATCATCGATTCAATTCACAGCACCGAAATGGCTTGCCTCGCCGTAACGGCTCTCTTCACCGGAACGATTCACCTCGTTGAACCAATTCTCCTCGGCCGGAACATTTCACCTCGCCTCACTGGTTCATCTGATCGTTCTAGATCTCTCCATCAGCTGAGATCATTTAATCGTTTCGGATTACCGAACCGATCCAGATCACAGTCACGATCCAGATTACAAAGCCGATCCAGATCCTGGACTGATTCAGATCATATCAACGTTCCGGCTCACCACCCTGAACTGATTTACCAGCAGGAATTGTTTTGGTTGATTCGACACACATGATCGCATGGTTCGCCGACCACCTACAGCTACCTAGAGCAAGATACCAGATGTTCTATTGATTACATTCAACATGAAGGATCGGGACTTGTCAACACTGATTTTCCACATCCTCAACGAGGTTCGTGAACTTGCATCCAGATAGGGCCAAATTTGTCGAACTCTGCTAGTTTTCAACACGATCCTAGTTTTCAGGGCATCTGTGAGGCGCTGAATTCCTCATTACGAAGTGGCAAGCTCTAAGCTCGACAATTTGATTTGTTTATCTGGTTTACTTTACGGCTTGTGAGGCTTTTTAGTCACATAACTTATCCAACCTTGTACCCCTTTTTCGGATGGTTGAACAGAGGTAGTAGCTATGTGCTTCACCATGCCGACTCGATTTACATGTGATGTCAGTAGCGCAGTCATCTAGACATATCACGTTCAGCACTTGACGGTCTGCCGATCCCAGTTCTCAAGAGTCCTCCGTGACCGGGGCTCATCTTATTCCAGATTTAATCTACCATCCGATCTTCACCTTTGATGAATGATTCGGTTCAACGAATCTACCCTTCGGTGTAGATATCAGTTCTAAAACCACCCGATAGGGCATTACTAGATAAGCTTGCTAGCCAGGAATACTTTACGACGCTTCACTGAGTCTTGTTACTACAGACTACTGGTAACAGCGTGTTTGTGTATCGCTGAGTGCAATTATTGCTGATGGTTCGTCATCTTCAGCTCCCTTTGTTTTACATGATAAGCAAGTTTCTGGACAGATAACGGATGGGTCAAGTTTTTGCGCATGGTACCAGCAGTGATGTTTTGTCAAATAGCCAGCATAGCTCAGCCCGGAATTTATGGGTTGCGACTCGCCCGGTTAACCGAAGACCATGTTGTCCGTATTTTTGTCAATTGTGTGTAACGTTTGCAAATGGCGGACTACTGTTTGTTTACCGGAATTTTGATGATTAGAGTGACCATGAAGTGCCCTTGCAGACTTGTCTTGGTCCAACGAATCGGATATCAAGTCCAGCCTTTAAATGCTAGTAACAATGAACGGTGCCATTCCCGGTAGGAGTGATTGTGTCGGGATTTCGACAGCCAGTCGAGAGAGACTGCTTATCGAGGGTGACAGACAGAAACACCCGTGAACGGTTTCACTTTTGCTGGGGTTACTTGGATTTTCTACACTAGCTCAAGCACTGAGTTCAGAGGTCACTGCAGTTATGCGTGGACTGTCACCAGGCAGCGATCTACTACCTTTCTCACTCCACCTGGCGAACCACCTGAGGTTGCCGATCGTACAAATTTCTTCAATTAGTTTACAATGTGAACGTTCCTGTAGATTGACTGACAATCTCCATGCGCCGATCATACTACATTCAGCACTCTGTTAGAACTGACATAGAAGACTGACATACATCCAGACTATCGGAAGTATCTTCGATTTACTTTCAAGGGGCATCATTGATACCAGTGGAGGGTCCTGCTGTTTGGCATATATGCGGCCCCGTGGCTTTTTACTCAGATACCCATTCCGATAACAAGCTACCTGCATTGTCTAGACGTGACATTCGAGAACTATATCGACGACTGTGTTCAAGCCCAGCAGGATCCAGTCGTTCTTCCTCTCCACAGGCAGTTAATCATCAAGTTGCTCGCGCAATTAGGATGGCTGCTGAATTCGGAGAAATTGGAGGTAACACAGACCCAGTGATTTCTTTTTATTGGGACAATATTCAACACGACAGGTCATGATGTTTGTGCCCCAGGAGAGGTGGGACAAGATTCAGTGCAATGCACCACTAGTGCTGGTCCAACCCACAACTTTTCGCCAGTGGCAGAAGTTACTAGGGAGATTGACGTCGGCACAAGCGCTGACTTACAGGGGCCAGCTGCAGCTTCGCCCTCTTCAGATGTTTCTGTGCCCATACATCCGGGACGACAACCCCAGGGAGTTGATTCGTCTTACCGCACAACTACATTCAGTCTTTCGTTGGTGGCCCAACAAGTGGAATGTTTGTGTTGGAGTCTCTATGGTGCCCTTCATACCGACTCAACACCTGTTCGTCGACACATCTTTCAAGCTGGGGCGCTCACTTTCTCCATCAAGTGGCAGTGGTCATCAGGAGAAAAGGCCCTTCATATCAACGAATTGGAATTCAGCACTGTCATTCTCGCCGTTCGGCATTGGACAGTTGAACTACGGTTTAGTCATGTACTGATTCAATCAGACATTTCGATGGTAATATTGTACATAAACCATTAGGTGTTGACAGGATCAGCAGCTCTGCTTCAGTTGATGTTTCGAACTTATCATCTGATCGATTCACTCAACACAGTGGCCAGAGCCCGACACATTCCCAGGATGATGTCATTGCCGATGCCCTTTCACTCATGGAGTGGAAACAACTGCCTCTGATATTCCAATCGTAGATCTACCTGTTATCACGACCAGATGTAGACCTGTTCGCCACTCGGGACAACCATCAGCTTCAGCGCAGATGATCACCAGTTGCGATCGTTTCTGCTTTGTGTACAATCTGAATAAAATTCTGAATTATATTTCTGATTTGTGTCTTCGATTCTTCTGGGACTTCGATTTCTCCTCTCAATTTAATTTGAGAGTCGCCACCTCACTTACTGTCCTCTGCTCCACGGAGTAATTATGTCAGTGAAGTGAGTCATTCCCGAAGTGTTACACTTCGTAGCGTTTATGCTCCTAAGTACCTATACACATCTATGTGATCTTACTGTGGTAGTGGAAGTGGAGGCATAAGATGATGTTGTGGTACTGAACGTTAAAATTGTGAGTTTTTCCGATTCAATTACCCTTTCACCCTCCTTGGGACGGTGTCTGTGTGGGTTGTTTCGAAGCAGGGGCTGGCCCGATACTAGTCGTTAGACTTTTATTACGGGGGTACCTTGGAAATCATGGCGATGCGACTGATTACACTCGCTAAGCTGCGTCCTTTCACTTTGTGAAGGTAGTGACTGAACACCACATTGCTCCGGAATCCCGGTCCCTGGGAGCACTTGTGCTTAGTAAGTCAATGGGTTCGAACTAACCCTCGCACATAGTAACTTTGGTAGTTATTGGCCTGCTTTGTAGTTGCTTCCTACGGTTGTTTTGGCATAACGCTTAGCTGTTATCACTTGAACTTCGGGTAATCTATGACCCACCTTCCTACCGTGGGATAAGTGCAAGTCGTGAGATAGGATAAGTTTAAAAATTTGGAAATTTTAACTATAAATTGTTTATTTATATACTTATCCTATCTTTTGAAGCGGTAATAATGCAGTACACTAGACACGTCAGTCATGTTTGTGCCGGTTCGGTCAATGCATTCTATCTATTAGGATTAATTCAATGGGTTAGGGTTAGGGCTAGGGTTAGGGCTTAGGGTTTAGGGCTTAGGGTTGGGGACCTAATCCAATATAGTAGGTACATGTCCGGTGGTTCAGTCAATGCATTCTATTTATTAGGATTATTTCAATGGGTTAGGGTTAGGGCTGAGGGTTTAGGGTTAGGGCTGAGGGTTTAGGGTTAGGGACCTAATCCAATGTAGTAGGTACATGTCCGGTGGTTCGGTCAATGCATTCTATTTATTAGGATTATTTCAAGGGATTAGGGTTAGGGCTGAGGGTTTAGGGTTAGGGTTTGGGCTGAGGGTTTAGGGTTTAGGGTTAGGGACATAATCCAATGTAGTAGGTACATGTCCGGTGTAATATGTGAGTACCATTTGTTGTTTTTCCTTTTGCAATTTAATACTTTTTTTCACACAAAAACGGGAAACCAAAAATGTCGAAAATACACTATGAAATGGTTTAATGTAGAAATTTTGGGCTAATGGAAACTGGCCTGGAATTTGCACTGAAGCCTCTTTCACACGCAATATTTGTTCAGTAATGATTCGAAGGCTAACTCACCCTCGTGCCGTCACTACACATGCTCATGTCTCCCTCGTTCCTTAGTGCGATCCACATTATCCTTACAGTGTTCCCTACATCACTTTTCTGTCACTAAATCACCGATTTATATAAAAAGCGTCATTCATGCACGCGCCGTGAAATCTCGTCTGACACCTGGCGTCAACAACCCTTTTCAGTTTGAGGCATATCGGCTCATTCCACGCCACACGTTATCTTGTAGATTACGGAATGGGACGAGTGTGCCAAATGGCATCAGGTCCATTCGGCAATTGTCCGTAGATTAAAATCACGAGACACCAAGTCTACCCATAATCTTCGTAATTGTCCGTGACCTATTCGACTCTTTCCGTTCATTTCCGTGACGTCACAGGAATGACTCGATAAATTTGCACATTGTGCAACAGTGTGGACGTAGCTCAGTTGGTTAGCTGTCGAGCTAACAATCCGAAGGTCGCGGGTTCGCGTGGGACGGGTTCCCACAAACTGGTTGCTTGTCTTAATGACACGTGACCTACGGCAGAGTTCGTCCTCACGAGAAGTTGTGGTGCTGTATGCTAAAGGTGCTCCCTGTGTGTGAATATAATGTTAGGGATACTGTTGAAGAAGGCCAAACCCTATAGCCCTGGACAGGTCTGTGTGTGAACATAAAGTTAGGGATAGAGTTGAAGAAAGCCCACCCCATAGCCCTTCACAGGTCTGTGTGAACATAATGTTGGGGATACAGTGGAGGGTTGGTTGTGTTCACACTGTGTGTCCTCAATATGTAAAGGACAGTGTTAGTGTTAGGGTGACATCATTTGAGGGTGTTCACACTTTGTTCCGTACAACTGTATCTCCTGAAGAAGTCAATAGTTGTGTAAAAAATATCCAATTATGACTAAGATAAGGATTAGGGCAGCACATAAGAAACACGAATGTGTCATCTTGCAATTTGACAAACAATCAAGACAACAGTCAGATATTTCTGCCAGTAAATGAGGAGACTATTGCTGTCCATGTAGACTACTTGTTCCTGATTCATATTGGGTGATTTTACTGATGCTTCTGTCTCAGTTCTGTGTTGGGATCACTGAAATTGATGAGATATTTTGATTGACGACTTTCAGATGGAAAGTTGAGATCAGTCATGAGAAACACTTTGGAATATCAGTGCCCAAGCTGAAAAGGGTAAGTGTATTACTACACCTTTCACGTTCGATGTGACAAGGCCAGTGTTCTGGTGCCCGTGTAATTAATATCTTGTGTGTGAGACATTGTCTCTGTGTGTATTAGAGTACCATTAGTGGTAACTTGATATACAGGTTAAAGTCACACAGGTTGATATGCAAAGTTCAGTTTGGGGATTTGAATAAAATTTGAGAAGAACGATCGATATCTTGAACTTAGTCCCCGTTTGAAAATCAGGCCAGGAAATGATATTTATTAAATCTAATCTGTGTTTTCCCCTCAGGTAATGATGATGAACAATTACGCCTCTATTGGTGTTGATGCACTAGTCACACTCAACTTTCACAAGCGCAGGGAAAGTTGGCCATGGCTGTTTGCTAACAGACTCATCAACAAGGTGGGTACTCTCAATACACGGCAGACATACGTGACATGCAGACTCATTTGTATGAAATGTAGTTTTTACAGAACATACACAGAGACAGACACACAGACAGAAAGACAGTATAAACACACACTCTCTCTCTCTCTCTCTCTCTCACTCACACACAAAGTGTGAAAGGACTCTTGTATCTGAAGTTTTCAAGTCAGTAGAAAAGGAGTTACCTCCCTTTAATCATTCTTGGCATTTTATGTCTGGCGTGATCTTGTAATATTTAAACCAGATGTGCATAAAGTGGGTGAAGTGTTTGTAGGTTAGGCAGATTTGTCATGTGTGATAAGCCTTATGTATTATTTCTGATTCAACTGTGAGTTGGTGTCAATTCTGCAAAGTTTGATGCAAGTTAATGCTTGGTACAAAAAAGATGAGTACCCAATATTCAGTATGCCTTTCAACTCTCTGCTGATTTTTCCATGCTAAAGCAAAGGAATTTTGTTTTAAAATGGGTTCTTGGGCAATGACTTTTTTAAAACAGGCGACCTCTTTCATTCGTTATGACAAAAGTAGGCTATTTAGACATAAAAAAAATAATACTTTTTTGTCAGAAAGCAGCAAGAAAATGTCTTTTTGCAGGGTGTTTTTGCTGTTGTGGCAATGACTGTGAAAAAAGAATATTTAAAAAACATTAGTTGAGATAACTTGAAAATATGTTATTTCATTCACACTTAATGTTCCTGATTTGTGTTAAACCAATTTCTACCATGCTAGTTGAAATCCTGCATTATGATTGGTGAACAAGCCACTGTGATTGACCCCATTATCAAAGATGAAAGTATAAGTGTGTTTGAAAACTTGTACAAGACAAAGTAAACAGATGCAAATGCTGATATTACATTAAACTGCTTCAAGAATAATCAAAGAATGTGTGGTAATGCCCTTAGACAGAAACGTGACATACATCGACCAATTATATTAATAGAGTGCCTTATTACATTCCTTCCCACCAAGGAAGTCCAACATATGGTTGCACTCTATCCTGTATGACATCATGCTCGCTGCAACGCAATGCTTCAACACCCTGAATAAACACATGTTTGTTCTTGTGAAAGGAAACCTGCATTGTTTGTGTCATTTTCTCAGGGTTTACATGTCTAAATATTTGGAGATGTTTTGTTTTCTGTTATCTGCAAAATATATTGTTTGATTTATAGAGAATACTAAACGATGTCCCATGTACTGCCATATTTATGAAACGAGTGAATGGTTTGGTATCTAACGTAGCGAAACCAATACCATTCACAAGTTTCATAAATATGTTCCTCTGTATCAGAATCACATGTTTTGAAAAGCAGTATGTGTGCAGTACACCTGTCATGACACTGTGGTGTGTGTAATTCACCCCTGTGCAGTACACCTGTCATGACACTGTGGTGTGTGTATTTCACCCCTGTGCAGTACACCTGTCATGACACTGTGGTGTGTGTATTTCCCCCTGTGCAGTACACCTGTCATTACACTGTCGTGTATGTATTTCCCCCCTGTGCAGTACACCTGTCATGACACTGTGGTGTGTGTATTTCCCCCTGTGCAGTACACCTGTCATGGCACTGTGGTGTGTGTATTTCACCCTGTGCAGTACACCTGTCATGACACTGTGGTGTGTGTATTTCACCCCTGTGCAGTACACCTGTCATGACACTGTGGTGTGTGTATTTCACCCCTGTGCAGTACACCTGTCATGACACTGTGGTGTGTGTATTTCACCCCTGTGCAGTACACCTGTCATGACACTGTGGTGTGTGTATTTTTCCCCTGTGCAGTACACCTGTCATGACACTGACACTGTGTGTGTATTTCCCTGTGCAGTACACCTGTCTGTGCAGTGTGTGTACCTGTCACCTGACACTGTGGTGTGTGTATTTCACCCCTGTGCAGTACACCTGTCATGACACTGTGGTGTGTGTATTTTCCCCTGTGCAGTACACCTGTCATGACACTGTGGTGTGTGTATTTCACCCCTGTGCAGTACACCTGTCATGACACTGTGGTGTGTGTATTTCACCCCTGTGCAGTACACCTGTCATGACACTGTGGTGTGTGTATTTCACCCCTGTGCAGTACACCTGTCATGACACTGTGGTGTGTGTATTTCACCCTGTGCAGTACACCTGTCATGATATGGCAAGTCTTATGTCAGTAATGGCCGTGAGACAGTGCCCTGTGACATGTGGGAGTGATTGTTGAGGGGGAGTGAGTCACCCCAGGCCAGGTAGCTTCATTTGAGGATGTTGGCTGCATCACTGACCTAGCACCATGTGACTGCATGCTCCAGTCTGACTCACAATCTGAAAACCATATATGCACACACAAACAGCTTCTGTTTGGGGAAAACAGTTGCATTTTCTAATTTAGCTGTTAAAAATACCAGTGTTTTTAATAGGGTGAGTCACTTTCCTTAATTTTGGTTTTGATTATTGGTGCACCTGGTTCCTGAATCTAACGATTAAGATATGAATGTATATTCTTTATTGTCTTAGAATCTGACTAATAAATACATGTCATGTTTGGCTGTTTGTATGTTCTTGAGACATACTGAATGAATCACAATTAGGAATGTTGAGTTGTGCAAGGTGCAGTGATCACAGACTCGTCCTATTTCTATCAGTTAGTACTTGGCACCAATGACTAATGTCTATGTTCTTACAAAGGTTTCTTACAATCTGCCTCATATTATGTTGCCATGGTTAAGCAATGGTCTCAAAACTGCAATCAAATATGAATACAAATGTGCTGAGAGTAGACACTTTATACATGCTACAGAGTTGGGGCAAATGCTTCAGATTTCTCTATTTACAGGAACCCGTGAAGATCCAGGTTAGAATTGGTCTTCAGTAACCCATGCTTGTCGTAAGAGGTGATTAACGGGATTGGGTGGTCAGGCTCGGTGACTTGGTTGACACATGTTATCGTATCCCAATTGCGTAGATCGATGCTCATGGTGTTGATCACTGGATTGTCTGATCTTGTCTCGATTATTTACAGATCGCCATCATATAGCTGGAATATTGCTGAGAGTGGCATAAAACTAAACTCACTGAGAGTAGGTACACCTATTTCAGAAAAGGTACACCAACTTCATTGTAGGTACACCTACTTCAGAGATGGTACACATGCTTCAGAGAAGGTACACATGCTTCAGTGTAGGTACATGCTTCAGTGTAGATACATGCTTCAGTGTAGGTACACATGCTTCAGTGTAGGTACATGCTTCAGTGTAGGTACATGCTTCAGTGTAGGTACATGCTTCAGTGTAGGTACATGCTTCAGTGTAGGTACATGCTTCAGTGTAGGTACATGCTTCAGTGTAGGTACATGCTTCAGTGTAGGTACAGGCTTCAGTGTAGGTGCTTCAGTGTAGGTACAGGCTTCAGTGTAGGTACACCTGCTTCAGTGTAGGTACATGCTTCAGTGTAGGTACACATGCTTCAGTGTAGGTACACATGCTTCAGTGTAGGTAAAGGCTTCAGTGTAGGTACATGCTTCAGTGTAGGTACATGCTTCAGTGTAGGTACATGCTTCAGTGTAGGTACATGCTTCAGTGCTTCAGTGTAGGTACATGCTTCAGTGTAGGTACATGCTTCAGTGCTTCAGTGTAGGTACATGCTTCAGTGTAGGTACATGCTTCAGTAGGTACATGCTTCAGTGTAGGTACATGCTTCAGTGTAGGTACATGCTTCAGTGTAGGTACAGTGCATGCAGTGTAGGTACAGTGTAGTGTACACATGCTTCAGTGTAGGTACATGCAGACTTCAATATAGGTACACATGTGTAGGGTCAGTGTAGGTACATGCTTCTAGGTACACAAGCTTCAGTGTAGGTACACCTACTTCTGAAAAGGTACACATGCTGCAGTGAAGGTACATGCTTCAGTGTGTAGGTACATGCTTCATGCTTCAGTGTAGGTACACGCTTCAGTGTAGGTACATGCTTCAGTGTAGGTACACATGCTTCAGTGTAGGTACATGCTTCAGTGTAGGTACACCTACTTCAATGTAGGTACATGCTTCAGTGTAGGTACATGCTTCAGTGTAGGTACACCTGCTTCAGTGTAGGTACATGCTTCAGTGTAGGTACATGCTTCAGTGTAGGTACATACTTCAGTGTAGGTACATGCTTCAGTGTAGGTACATGCTTCAGTGTAGGTACATGCTTCAGTGTAGTGCACACATGCTTCAGTGTAGGTACATGCTTCAGTGTCGGTACATGCTTCAGTGTAGGTACATGCTTCAGTACTTCAGGTAGGTACATGCTTCAGTGTAGGTACACAGGTACTGCTTCAGTGTAGGTACACATGCTTCAGTGTAGGTACATGCTTCAGTGTAGGGTACTTCATGCTTCAGTGTAGGTACATGCTTCAGTGTAGGTACATGCTTCAGTACATGCTTCAGTGGTACATGCTTCAGTGTAGGTACACTTACTTCAGTGTAGGTACATGCTTCAGTGTAGGTACATGCTTCAGTGTACATGCTTCAGTGTAGGTACATGCTTCCAGTGTAGGTACATGCTTCAGTGTAGGTACATGCTTCAGTGTAGGTACATGCTTCAGTGTAGGTACATGCTTCAGTGTAGGTACATGCTTCAGTACATGCTTCAGTGTAGGTACATGCTTCAGTGTAGGTACATGCTTCAGTGTAGGTACATGCTTCAGTGTAGGTACATGCTTCAGTGTAGGTACATGCTTCAGTGTAGGTACATGCTTCAGTGTAGGTACATGCTTCAGTGTAGGTACATGCTTCAGTGTAGGTACATGCTTCAGTGTAGGTACATGCTTCAGTGTAGGTACATGCTTCAGTGTAGGTACATGCTTCAGTGTAGGTACATGCTTCAGGTGGGTACATGCTTCAGTGTAGGTACATGCTTCAGTGTAGGTACATGCTTCAGTGTAGGTACATGCTTCAGTGTATGCTTCAGTGTGGGTACATGCTTCAGTGTAGGTACATGCTTCAGTGTAGGTA